TCAGTGCGTGGAAATAATCTGAAAGCTTTACAAAACAAAATTTTGTTCTGTACACACTCTGAGTATACAAGATGACAATAAAAGTTGTCTAAGTTTGTTGCTTTTTACTTGTGGCAGTGTATAAAAATAAAGTTGAATTCTATTCTATTGTTCAGTTTCATTGTAATGTGCAGCTTTGGACAGTAGATGTCACTCCAGCTAATACTTCATATGGAATCTAACTAACTTTTGCTTCCAGACTGCTGCCTGAGTGCCTTAATGTTATATATTTATTTCATACATCAATATTCTAAATAGACTATTTAATGCAATTGAGATGTGCAGCATTTAGACTGAACATTTTGATTATATTATTTTAAACTTTAGACATGTAAATGATTGAAAGATAAAAGATGACCTTTTTATCCAGACATTGCTGGAGCTGCAGAACAGGATGGTCTTCTATGGAAGCAGGAATGGAGAATGCATTCCAGCTATGAAAGAATAAAGCTAAGAGTGAACCTCTGACTGATTCAGTTACAGTGTATGAAGCCGGACCCTTCTACAGTTGCTGGGGGCATTGTGGGAGTTTGGTTGTGCAGTGAGTCCAAATGAGTTACATGGATCTAGATGATTTAGTCCTATGAGGCATTTTTAATGAGTTTTTTTTCTCCAGAAAATGGGGAGCAGGTGATGCATTGGGGCTTTTTCCAGGCTCGTGTAATCTAAAGGAAGAAATATATCTCCAATCTAAGCATAATGTCTAAGTTCATGTCAGGAAGGACTCCTCCAGGATCCATTCATCACTCATCATGTCTGTGGTGTTCATCAACAGAATCTCAATATACAACTATTTAAATGGTTGGCAGACTAATTGATGCTTCAAAAATAAAATAAAACCAAATGATGAAATCCTGAAAAGAACAATATGTTCTAGCTGATCAGAAATCGCACTGCAACAGCAGCAGCAGTCAGCCTCACCGTCCCTTCAGCACCCTGGCCACTGAAGGCTGAAAATCAATGCTGCTGCTGCTGCTGCTTCAAGAAGGAGGAACAATAGATGTTGAGAAAGGATGGCCTGTTTCAGGAAACAGGAAATTGCAAAGATGTAAAGTAAAAACATCTCCAGAGTATTCTGTTTCTAAAGAAGAATGTTAGGTTTAAGGATTCACTTTTTTGGGGGGTAATAATTATCTTATTTAAAGACTGTCTAACCACCGAGATGTTGTCAGTTTAGAGTTTTATTGTATAACAGAGAATTTCTCTGCCGTTTTTACTTTATGGAGCTTTTATTGAACCCACAGCAAACCTTCTCTGTTTATAGACAGGTGGCTTCCTACTCTTGACTTGGTATTTCCCCACAACTTTAGTGCACTTAAACGCAGCATAGTTGAAGCCAAATGTTTTGACTCTGACCAAAGTTTTGTTTTCTTCAAAATACAATCAATAAATTAAAAATGGATTAAAGTGAAGTAAAAACTGTAATAAAAACCTTAAGTTAATGAAAAAATTATTAAAATTATTTTTTACACTAAGGTACTAATACGACTAACCCTTAAGTGTATTTTTGACACTTGAAGTACAAATGCAAATGTTTATTTAATAAAATCATGTATTTGTCACTTAATATAATATATCGGTATTCATCATTTTCCATCATCTGTGCCATATGAGCTTATATTAAATAATTTAGCCATCAATGCAGGCTCAAAAAATAGAAACTAATTTGTGATTGTTTAAAAAGACCAATTTGCTGTTATAGTGAAAAAACATCTACTACAGACCTTAAATAGTACAATATGAAATATCTTCATAATCATCAAAATCATGTTTAGTTTATTGCATCAATTGATTTATGAATTTATTAAATTTAACAGTATTATTCATTTTACAACAAAAACAAATATTCCATTTATCACGTTATTTTTTAAAGGATTTGTGACACCTTTTGCTCTTGAAACAAGGTCATAATAAAACACAAAAATAAATATATGCCTATATCATCAATGATTCAAAGAGATGATGCAAACTTTTTTTTTTTTACAGTGTTCTGTCTGGCAATGTGGCAATAAGAATAATTGTCTTGATGCCAAAAAGAGCCCAACAGGTTTTGTTTTCACAAGTGGAGCAGTAAGGCTATCTCCGTAGTGTTCCGCTTGATTTATGCATATAAATAGCTTTATTATATTACATGCAGGGAGTATTACAGATTATATGGACATTGCAATGCAAGTACAGGAAAGGAAAAACAAAAAAAAGGAGAAAAGATGAAAGAAAGAGGAGATAAAAGAGGGATAACGATACAACATCTTCAGTCTCCTTCATCACCTGCAAAGAGATGTAAAAAGAACAGCACAACCAGCGGATATAGTATAAGAAATACAGTAAAGTAGCACCTTGGTACTATTGCTAAAGTATAAGTAGTATTATTTAATCTGACAGGTATACTGTGGTAGCTGAAGATAAGAATGTGAGCTTTCTGTGTGGAAGTGAATCTCTGAGTACCTGGAGCCAAGCATCTGTAGTTGTTTGTGAGGGTGCACTTGCTGCTTGTAAAGTTTATCCAAAGGAAAAATGCTCAATAGTGGTTGTGAGGAGCCAAAGACCCACCCCTCCAGAGCGCCGAGGCAAGTGCTGGGGGACCCAAAACCCCAGATGCCCAAAAGGATTCTTAGAGCAAAGGTTCCCATGAGGGGCAAACCCAGGAAATCCGACCTCCCACTAAGGGAAGAAGAGAGATGGCCCCGAGGAAACCTCCCCAGCCGCCGCAATGCCAGAGGCCCCAGGAGCCGCGGGCTCCGCCGGCAGCCAGCATCCCATCCCGGCGACCCAAGAACCCAGTGGCACCTCAGGCCAGGCCCCCTGAAAGCAGCTGCCAGGAATAAGCCAGCAACCACGCCAAGCACCACAAATGCAGCGGCAGGCCAAAGGGCCCTCCAGCAGGGGGGGGGCAGGACAGGGAGAATGGGCTCCACGCGTAGCGGAGACTTTAGATGTTCTTGGGAGAGGGAGCAGTTCAGACCCCAACCTGACAATTAAAAAAAAATAAATATATGCATGCATTTTTAATATGTTATTTTGAAATGTATTTAAAATGTATGTTTTTCCATCAAAATACTCCCGGGAATTGAATGGTGGCACTTTGACCCTTGACAGTAATCAAGCTTCTATTTTTATAAAGGTCGCCTCAAACTAGGCGGATGTTACGATAAACTTTTATTTTGAAAATCCCGCATTATTGAAGTTTTATAGTAAATATGTACTAACAAAACGGAAAAGGATACGTTGATTTTTTTTACTTTGTCTGTGTTAAAAACTGTCATTATATACGTATATAATGTCTATGGTGTAAAATCTGTTTTTTTACTTCGGTAATTTACCTCTAAGATACAGTAACATATTTCATAATAAATTAATTTCCTTTCCATGCTTTTACTCTGAAATCAAACCGGAAGAAGAAATGAAACATTAAGTGTGACTTCACTCGTTGGCCAGAAGGGGGCGTGTTGGCTGCCCTTTGGCATGTGGATGGTCGTTTGGTGCATGGCGCGTGTTTTGAAGCTGCTTATGGAGAAATGTCTTGGGCCGTGAGTAGTGAGGAAACAGGAAGCGATTCTTGTGGGATGGAAGAGGGAAATAGTGACAATGAAGGTTGGAAGATAGCAACATCAAAAAATGAGAAAAAGCGGAAAAAACAGAGATCAGTTCAAGGGGAATCTAGTTCAGAACAATCCAGTGATGATCATTCCATACATTCCACAGCACAACAAAATGAATTCAAAGTCATATTCAAAGTCGTTAATCAGGCAGACTCTTTTACAAATTGGAATCCGGTTCACTTAACAAAAACCATCAATAAACTTGTCGGAGAAGTCAGAGGTGCCAGAATTCTGTACAGTGGAGACCTGCTAATTAACTGCAGAGACAGCGCCCAGCAAGGCAAAGCAATACGGATCAACAAAATTGACGGGATAAGAGTTCAGTGCAGCCTAATGGAGAACAAAAAGATCAGCAGGGGAGTCATTGGAGGAGTTCCTCTAAAAATTTCTGAAAAAGAGATTCTGGAAAACATAAGCGGTGCAAAAGTAAAAGAAGTAAAACGGTTAAAAACAACAAGAAACGGAGAAAGATCTGACAGTTTATCAGTGCTAATTAAATTTGAGGAAGAGCAATTACCAAGCAAAGTATTCATCGGTTACATAAGCTATAATGTCAAAATCTACAATCCTCCACCATTGAGATGTTTCAAATGCCAAAAATTCGGTCACATTGCAGCAGTTTGTAAAGGGAAACAGAGGTGTGGAAGGTGTGCAGGAGAACATGAGTACGGAAAATGTGGAAAAGAAGCTAAAATAAAATGCTGTAATTGTGGTGGAGAACATACTGCTGCCTATCGCGGCTGTGAAGCAAGCAAAAGGTCTGAGGAAATTAAAAAAATGAAATTTGAGCTCGGAATAACCTACGCTGAAGCTGCAAAAAGGATCCCATCTCAGTCAGAAAAACCCAAACCTACAGTTCAACACACGGCAAATTCCAAACCTCTAGAGAATCAAAAAATTGATGAAGACTCACTTATTGTTAAAAAAACAAATTTTGTTCTTTTCATGGTAGAAGTAATTAATTGTACTGCACAGACAACAAAAAAAACGGAAAAAATCAAAATAATAGTGAAGGCTGCAGAAAAATATCTGGACATTAAAGATTTGAACTGGGAGATGGTTGGAAGTATGATGGGAGGACCGATGGGACCATCAGAAACTGGCAGAGTTAAGATGACCTAGAGTAAATTAAAAATTATATGGGCAAATGTGATTTAGTATTATGTTGGTTTAAGTTACACAGGTTTTTTTTTTTTTTTTTTTTTTTTTTTTTTTTTTTTTTTTTTTTTTTTTTTTTGGGGGGGGGGGGGGGTGAATCGTTTTCTGTTTTCTTGCTTTACTCCATATCAGTTGGTGGCGGTAATGCACAATTCACAAGTCTGCCAACCGCCATAAAACCCCATAAGAAGAAGAAGAAGAAGGGGGCGTGTTGTCAGTTCTTAGCTCGCCTGCCGCTAACTGCAGGCTAAAGTTTCACTTTCTGTAGCTGATGAGTATCCTCTAGCTTGAAGAATTGGCACTTCGGGGGAAACGAAACAAGAACTAGATCCAGATTTGTCGGAGCGACGCAAGGTCACCGATGTACCTCCGCGGTCACTTTCAAGGCTGATATTAACAGTTAGTGTTAAAGTTTCCCCCACCTCCCCTCCGCTGACCGCCTCCTAAACCGTCGCTTTTTTCAGCTAGCTTTAGCGGCTAGCCACCGCTAGCATGGACAGCGGCGGAAACATGCAGAGTAATGAGGAAAGAAACGCGGAGAAACTGATGGACAACTATTTGAAATCTCAGGGGTTCCATCGGAAGAAGATCGCCAAAGATGGTTCCTGTTTGTTCCGAGCCGTAGCCGAGCAGGTAAGAGGAGGAAATCTGTCAAAACGTTTCATGTCAAGTTGCTCAGTTAGCTTAGTGAGCTCAGGTGAGCTGTGTTTGTTGTTGGATAACAACTTTAAATTCAACTCTCTTCAACCGGGAACAATTTAGCAAACCTCTGCCTGGCGTCATACACACTAAAACCTAACTTATATTTAATATTTAATAAACACTTTGTGTGTGTTTTAGTTGGGACTCATATGAGCTGCAGCCTGTCTGTTTCTAAGTGTTGAACTTTGACCCCTGCCTTCAGGTGCTGCACTGCCAGAGCCTGCATACTGAAGTCAGGGCCAAATGTGTGGAGTTTCTGAAGAAGAACCGGGACAGCTATGAAGCAGTAAGGATCACCTTTCACAAGACTCCACAAGATCAGGACACTTTCACTATCAAACCATTTATCACACTGGCACTGAAGCATGAAGCTGCATCTAAATAAACTAGGCGACTTTATACATTTAATTTCTTTACACCCAAAAAATATCCAGTTTTTCTACAAATTATATATAAATATTGTAAAAACTAAACATTTTAAATGCAGAAATGCACCCTGAAATGTTTAGACGTATTTAAAAGCATATTATCAAATAGCAGAATGGGGTTCATTGAAAGGATCAGAATAAAGAAACATGGAGGTTAAGGTCCTGTGACACATTGATGATTTAGACCAGGGATCTTCATCGTTTTCCAGGCCAAGGACCCCCAATCTGATGGCAAGATGGAGCAGGGACCCCCTAATTATATACTGTATATATATATATATATATATATATATAGTATAAAATTGTGTTATATCAAACTGGTCCTATAGTTACACTATTACATATGGAGTCATGTAATGAACGTTATTTCTCCCTGGGATTATTAAAGTATTTCTGATTCCTGGTTGATGGGACAGGTGTTGTGAATGAAACGGTGCCCAGATTAAAAGAGCTCCTGTGTGTCTCTGAATGTGTGCATTGATGACTGAAAGACATCTGCCTGCATTTATCTGTTTACTACTTTGTTGAATTCATGTTAATGTGGATTTAAAGACATTTCAGTTATTGGAAAACATTGCAGGGTGGAATAAAAAAAAAAAGGGTAACGAACCAAAACTTTTGTACCTCCGTTGACCCCTTAGGGGTCACGTACCCCCTGTTGAAGATCTCCGATTTAGACAGCATATGCCTGATGTCCCAGAATCTGCTAAAATGCTGGCATACGCGGAACTTTCTATGTATTTTTTCCAATTTTGGGCATATGCATAGCATATTTATGAGTCCAGAACCTATGACCAAAGACGGCCTAACTTATGCATAAGGCACGGCAGCGTAATGGCCATGAAATTAACAAACCAGTGTCCTCCTGAGGGTGGCAACGATGCGCCCGGCCTGCATAAAAAGATTGAGTTGATTGCGGTATTAACCTAGCTCAGGGGTCTGCAAACTATGGCTCCGGAGCCACATGTGGCTCTTTGGACCCTCTGCAGCGGCTCTTAATAAAGGCTAAAATGTATATAAAGAGCTAAATAATGCGCTAGGATATAAATACCAGTCTTAAAAGCTTTAATGGTTTTTATACGATGGATAAGGAGGAAATTAAAAGAACCGGAAATATGTTTTAGAGCCATTTTTTCTTTTAATTAGCTTGGAATTTATGTGTTTTAAAACTATTTTACAAAACAAAAAATTCAAACTCTGTTAGTTGTCTAAGATGACGACTAATTTCCTATACCAGATAATAACAAAAAACAAATGGGTTGTTTTTGTTTTGAAAAAGACATAGGCTACTTTGTGTCTCCAAACAACTTTTAGTTGGTCTGAACTCGGGGGGGGGGGGGGGGGGGGATGACTCTTTGGATATGAAAGGTTGCAGACCCCTGACCTAGCTGCTGTTTACCACCCACCAGAAAAAAAGAATAAATAAATTAAAAATAAAAAGCAGATTCAGCATCATGTCTGCTAAGAAGTTTGTTAGTCTTGGTCGTGGGGAGGATCCATCACACTCAGCTTCACGCTCACCTTATGATGGGGATGCAGTCTGGAGGAGTACAGACAGTTTCCTCCTGTGAACCCACTTTTATACCAAAACGCTGCCATTATAGAGTGGCTGTTAGTTAGAAACACCTTTCAACTGTCATCTGGAACTCGTCAAATAAGATAAGATAGAGATAAGTTACACATAAGTTATGCACAAGTTACTCATAGGTAAGTTATCCTATCATTAACCGTATGTTAATGATAGGATAACTTACCTGTAACTTATGGCCCACGTATGGCATTCGGTGGAATTAACTCGATGTACTCACTGTATGTCGATGTGTACCAGCATGCCCATAACTTAAATAAAACGTAGTCATAACTTATCCAACGTATGCCAGTGTTTTTGCCCGAATTTTCCTACGTCAGGGATGCGCTGGTCTAAATCGTCAAGGTGTGACAGGGGATTTAAGGCGGGTACTTTTCTGGCGTGCTGTTTGGTTCCAAATCCTGCAGGAAAATGAAACCAGCAGTAGGATGCACGATGAACCGACTTTGGACCTGAGAGCCTCTGGGTTCCTGATTTCGGGCTAACATGAAGAAAAAGACTGGTTTGTTTAGAAAGAGATGTTTGGACTTGTGCAGAAGTTTCTCCTTCCACACTGTCCCTAATAAGCTACGTCTGTAGCAGCTATCTTAACCTTCTGCCGGATCTTCCACATTATGTCAAATGTTTTAATAATAAACATTTTTATTGGGGAGTGGCGGCCTAGTGGTTAGGGCATAGAGCTTGGAATCCAGAGGTTCTGAGTTTGAGCCCCACTCCCACAGGAATCAACCTTAAAGTCAGTATTTTCTATAAACGGCTTAAATGGTGAATCTGATAGGACCTTAAGGATAAAAGAAGCCATTTTTATTTTCCAAAAATATTTCACAAAAAGATTTATGTAATTTTTACTATAGATTTTTTTTCAATAGTTGCACCATAAACCTATTAAATAAACCTTACATTTTGCATATTCATTAATTTAGTTTAGTGTATTGTTTGAATTGCATAATAATCAGGCTACCTTTTTGCATTTCCAATAATAAACATAAAGGTATTTGAAATAAAATGGATGATGTAAGGTTTATTTAGTTGTGTGTGTTCAAGTTACCTAAACAAACAAATAAATTAAGATAAATTTTCATTTTTGGGTGAAATATTTCTGAGTTTCTCCTCTTGCAGTATTTCAGGATCACGGTTTAGTGCAGCTGGTTGGCTGAATGTGTCAGAGCCGCTGCGCTCGACAAATCAACGTTTCAAGGCTGCATCTCAGCCGTTTGATTTACTTTATTAAATGACTCGATTCAGCATCAAAGCAGAGCGTCCAGATAGATGTCACGCTGATCTGTGTTTGTACGACCTTCGCACATCAAACACAGGAAGCAGGTGGAAAAGCTGCAACCGAAAATCCCTCCAGTCACACCGTCAGCGAAGTTTGATCATATTGACTGATACTAAGTCGTATATTCATTCATTTCTATCAATAGCTGATTGATTTATCAGTAATGCACTTATTTCCACGGTCAATATGTCATAAAAATGATCAGCGGGCATCATTAGACATTAGCTGTGTTTTTTAAAGGTCAGCCTTGCTGACAGAGGGCGCTGCTTTAATTTCCCTTCTGCTCAGCCCTTCTTGTTTTTACAGAAATTATTCTTTAGTTTATGTATGAACAGAAAGAAAAGTCTGTTTATTAAAGGGTCGGCAGTTTAAGTTTTACAGATCACCTTTTTTCCAAAAGAAATGCAAAACATCTCATGAACATTTTGCATAAAACTTATATTTTTATGTAATTTTCATTGACTAAACTCTTCATTTTTGTCCCTAGAAAATGTTTTTAATGGATAAACACCAGATCCATAACGGAATAAGACAGAATTGAGCCGTTTAGAGTCTGTTTTTTGAAGCAAATATGTTCAGGAATGATTTTTGTAAATCTTGTTGTGGAGATAATTCTGTTAGTTGATGAGGTGAGGATGTTAGTTGCAGCATATGCCTGTTTTTGGGGCCTGTTTTTTGAGCATCTACTGCCTTTAGACTCTTTCCAGCAGGAGAAATGTCCCATTATGAGGTAAGATGTTAGTTTGCATAAAACAGATGCATCCGTTATGAATCGGTCCCTTGTTGTTCTAACTGCTTTATGAACTGCAGAGGTTTTTATATGCTGACAGTTTCTCTAGTTTTCTTTCTTCCCCTCTGAGTCTGGCTGCAGCTCATGTTTAATGTCTGCTCTTCTTTCCAAGCTGTGAGTCGTAACTCGTGTCATCAGGATTTGATCACAACACGAATGGGGCAGAGAGGCCAAAGGTTGAAACGCATCGATACTTTTTACGACTTTAATTGTGTTCCCAGAAGTCAAGTTAAACGTTTATCGAGTTTCAGTTTCTAAAAACCGCCTGTTTTCCACTTTTGGAGGACTTTAACAGCAGCTGCACAGATTATTGGTGGAATATTTTAGGATTTAACTATAAAGAGGTCAGAGAGTCTGTTAGAGCACCTTAATGTCTCTTAGTTTAATCAGATTTAAAACACATTTTTGGACGAGGAGCGCTCCGAAAAGACAGATCAGAATCTGTCACCATGATGGAAATCAGGACTGAAAATGAAATGTTTGTTTTTATGACCGTAATCTGATCATTGTCCTGGAGAACCGCTTCTGCAGGAATGCTGCTCGGTTTCTTGCAGAGAAGGACTGAGCTGCAGCGTTCAGGGCTCGGCTGCCTTCGCTCTGTTAATCACCTGAGCTTAGTTTCCTGGGAGTTATCCACACTGAATGCTGGGAGTTTGAGTTCTTCAGTGAGTGCCGTCACAGATCTTCTAAAGAGAAATATAACATAATTTTTCTTTTTAGCTTAAACTTTTTATATTCTCTTTATTGTTTTAAGAAGCAGTTTTAGTCAATAAATCTGATGGTCTAAAGCAGCAAAGCTTGACATTTTATTATAATGATGCAATCAAAGCAGAAAGATGTGCTTATTATTATGTATGGGAGAGGATTAGGGCCAGTGGGGAAAAAAAAAAGTTTACTGATTTTTTAAATTTTATTTCAGTGTAGTATGGGGGAAAAAGTCAGAATTCTGACTTTTTTCTCAGAATTCTGACTGAATTCTGACAATACAAAAAGTCAAAATTCTGAGAAAAAAGTCAGAATTCTGACTTTAATGTCAGAATTCTGACTTTTTTCCCATACTATACTGAAAAAAAAAAAAAAAATCTGTTAACTTTTTTTTTTTTTTTTTAATCAGTGGCCCTAATCCTCTTCCGTAATTATGGGATCTGATTGATACCAGTTAGTAAAAGCTCAGAAATCGGTGCTCAGATTTAGATGCTCTTAGTTTCTCTGCAGCAGAGGGAAGGAAAATGAGGAAGTGATCGGGTTGCTGCCTGCAGCTCTAGCTGGTTAATTAAGCGAAGATCACCGACGGAAACATAAAAGGTCCATCCGAGCAAAACAAAACAATCGTCTTTATTTAAAGAGGGACGCTGTGTTCCCTTTCTCAAAGCGGTGATTGTTTTATACAGAAAAGGACAGGAATGGAGGCTCATTTATAGACATTTTGCTCTTTTTCCTCTTTCTTTTGGAAGTTTTCTCACAGCTGGCGTTCTTTGCTGTGACAAAACTTTTAGACACACAACATAAAAGAGGATCGTTTGGTGGGGTTTATATGCAAACAGTCTTTGTTTCCTGCGATCCAGCTCTACCCCTGAAGCATTTAAACATTTGGATCCTCTGATGTGAAAATATCAATATTATTAGTCGACCAATTGAGGTCAACTATTCATATATTTATTTCCCGACCTGTTCTTTAAAGCATTATCAGGGTCACATCACCAAACAACCTCTCCTCTCTCTTTAGAGGCACAAACTGCAACAAGATGGAGACTCTTTTATTTTTGGGATTGATCCGTCATCAGCTGATCCTTCATTAAACCTGACATCCAACAGGTTCTAGTAGAACTAGCCGTTCAGTTCCTTTTCACTGGAAATGTTTAAAGATATGAGTTCTGGATTGTAATAGTTGCTTAAAACCTGATGATAGCTGCTATGAAGCCTGACGGACTGAAAGCAGAGGAGTCCATGACAGGGAAAAAACTCAAAACATTTCTGACACTTTTTTATAACAATTTGATATGAATCTTAAGTTTATGAAGTATTTTTTTTTTATTCCTAATTTTAAATCCAAATTCCTGTGAGAAATGAACATTTTTAAAACCTAATCAGGTCAGTTGCACTGACCTTTGTTTTCATACTAAACAAATCTAAAGGGGAAAACATTGAACTTTGTTTATCATGAAAATATGAATTTATCTCATCTCAAAACATGAGTGGATGACACCATAGTTGCTATCTGGTTACACGTTAGTTTTTTTGGTTCAGGTGTTTTTAATGTTTACGGTTCTCCTGGGTTCTGCTTTAACCGACATGTTCTCCTGGTTCCTGTTCTGAGCTCATCTCCGTTTCTGTTTCAGTTTATTGAAGGGGACTTTGAGGAGTATCTCTGCAAGCTTCAGGACCCTCAGGTAAAGCTCAGCGTCGTCAGCGTATCTGCTCACTGTAACGTCTCATTAGAGGGAGACTGATGAGACGCTTGGTTTTTACAGCAATGGGTGGGAGAGGTGGAGATCAACGCGCTGGCCGTCATGTACAAGTGAGTAAAATCAACGTAAACATGTCCACCATCCTTTAAAAACACTGATTAAAAAAAACAAAAACGTTTTTTGTTCACTATACTGTTTTTATAGTTCGTTTACTTTTAGCTTCTTTCTTATAACTGATCCCTTTGGGGTTCTGAAGCGATATTAGAGGCAGTCAGTGTCTTGATGTTGTATTCAAATCTATTTTAACTACATTTCAGAGATTATTACACCTTTATTAAAACCTGAATTTCTGACCAATGAATCACATTTGCTGCCCTGATGATCTGAGGAATGCAGCAGTTTGATTTATTTAGGAAATCTATCTATACCTTTTTATCTAAACTTTTATCTACTTTCAGTCAGTGGCCATTCCTCAATAAACAAATGCTTTGAACTTATTGAAAAAAACAAGATTGAAATTTAATTTATAAGATAGTTTATATACACTAACTAATTAGGGATGTAACAATATCAAAATCTCACGGTACGATACAATTTCGATATTGACCTCACGGTACGATATTGTGGAAAAGCTCACAGTACTGTTAAATTGCTCACGATAGTGTTTGTAATGATAATAGCAAAAAAATACAGACATTTTTTCTGCTTTTCCAGTCAACAGTAAATTTATTGCTGTATTTATGGATAAATACAACATAAAACGCTGATCACATAGTGCTTTTAAAGTGCAGGTTGTAGTCAGGAACATCAATATTCTGTCGATTCTTCTGTGCAACGTTCAAGTTAAGAAGCAACCAGAACAATTGTAAACAATATGGAATTAATTCCCTTTAAGCGCAAACAAATATCAAGTTAAGTCAGGTTTAAATGTGCAAGACAAGTAAAAGCAGCCTTTTAAAACTGGTATTTAGGAACATAGCTTAAACTTAAATAAAATAGTCAGTCAAAAAGCCTCTATCTGTTAGCTTATGCTCACGTTTTTCATCAGAATGATCAAAAGATCTACATTGCGAGAGAGAAGAAGAGACCTCTGGGCATTTACAATATCGCCTGCTGTTTAAAATACCCTTTCACTGGGCACCGAGGTGGCGGGTATACATTAGGGGTGGAACAGTTCACAAAATCCACGGTTCAGTTCACGGTTTCATGATCACGGTTTTCGGTTCGGTTCGGTATATGTTGATTGTTAGCCTGACATGTTGGTCGTTTTGCTGATAGCATAAACAAAACGTGTTGCACAATGCTTGCACACTTTTTTTATCCACAACTTTCTTTCCGCCGTCATCGTAGGTCACTAAATGCTCCACTCCACTCGCCATACCCACACAATTCTCCACAACTACTGATTTTTTTCCCTGCTACATCCGGCTACGCTGCTTCGCTTCTTCTTCTTCTTGTTTACTACTGGTGGTTGGCTTTGGTCGCAGTACCGCCACCTTCTGCTCTGGAGTGTAAACGCTTCCCCTATGAGAAAAAGGAGCAGCGCATGAACCGAACGAAACACAGGCGAACCGAGACAGTCGAACCAAACTGTTCGGACAGTTTTCATAAACCGTTGCATCCCTAGTGTACACAGTAGGTCTTTGCTAATGAAGACAGAATAGGATACCGCCCTGCATTGTCTTTCCACCACCTTCTCTCCTTTTGCATTTTTTGACACGGTGAAACCAAAATGTTTCCAGACATCTGACTTAAAAGCTGCAGGGGCTGGCACAAGCTCAACTTCGGGGTTGTTGTTTTCATCCTACAACTATCGCTGTCGGCCATGCTAGCTTGCTTTGAGCTTGTGGGGACAGCGTGCAATCCTATTGGCTTAAGAACGGTTGGTATGACGATGCAGCGCAAAGGATCATGGTCTATTTAGTTAACATTGATTTGTTCCGCGGGACTGTGTTTAATCCTCTTGCTTTTTGACGGACACCTGTCCTTTCATTAATGTAACCCAACCACGACGATATTGAGACACGTTTACAACCGCGATAGCGCGATAATGTCAATATCGTTACATCCCTATTACTAATAAGGATTCATCTACGGATTGATTAATTAGTTTAAGGATCAATAACAAAGTATTAAAAGGTCCTTAGATTTTAGCCTTTTTTTTACTTTTACGGATTTTGAACCAAGTGAAACTAATGTGAACATTTGTTTTACTCTGAAAGGAGATTTTGTTTTCATTTTAAGTGGAAAATATGTGAAGTTTAAGCTTTACCTTTCAGCTAAGGCTGGTCGATTAATCAACAAAATCAATTAACTGAAAATTTTGGTTATCATGTAAAACGTTTTTAACTATTTGGATTTTTTTTTTGTAGCAGATCTTATCTTTTAACCGATGAATCAGAATTTTTTATAAGGTTGTTTATTTCAGGAGCTCAGTTTAAAGCTGGAACCTGTTCTATAGAATCAGGGAACACATGCTGATGTTTTCAAGCATTCATTTCAGTTAGTTCTGAATTTACAGGAAGTAAAAACATTTTAAATTAGAACATTACATCAGAAATGTACTAAAAAAAAAGCCCTTCCTAATCTTTTAATTGTTTTCTGTTTTTATCTGTTTCACTTTACAAACTTTGTTGATTAAAGTTCCAGCAGCTGTTTGTAGAAGGAGCTTTAATGGATGGTTTATGCTCCTCCTGGCTGTGAACGGTTCCCTCTGTGAGGACCCTCCACCTCTCATTGCTCTGCTTCTCTTCATCTTCCATTAGGAGAGACTTCCTCATCTACCAGGAGCCCGGAAAGCCGGCTGTGAGCATCACAGACAACAACTTTAAGGACAAAGTGAGGCCGACCGCATCCTGATGTTAAATTCATTCATTCGCAGCCGGTTAATGCAGCTCAGCTCCTGTTGTAAAGCTAAAATTTAAACCTATATGTGGCAGAAATTAGATCTGATCTTTGCATTGCTGAAATATTGTATTACCCATAATAAATATTTAAAACAAAAATAGCATAGAATGTTTAATGGAGTGTATTTTAGAAGTATCTTGGCTGCTCGTTTTAGGCTAGCTGAGTTTCTTCTTGTGAGGTAGGCGGCCATCTTGTTTATTTTAACTAGCAGGAAAGCGTAGATGTTCGGCTGACCTTCCTGATCCCAGATCTGAATGTCCGTTCCGTGCCAGAACCACATCTGATGCTTTTCTCTCGCCTTGCAGGTCCGGCTGTGTTTCCTGAATGGAAATCACTACGACAGTGTTTATCCCTTGGAGAGCATTAAGAGCGCTGCGATCTGTCAGTGTAAGCATCATCATCATAATCGTCATCCTGCGTTTCAACCAGGAGCTGATTTAGAGAAAATAATCCCTGTGTTGTTTTGTGTTTATTCCAACGTGTTTAGGCGCTAATTGTCCATAATATCATAAAGAAAATTTTTATGCTATGATTGACAAATCTAAAAAAAACGAGATATTTCCATATAAAACTAATTTTATATATCAGTATGAATAAATCATAAGTAGGAACATTTCTGTCCTTTTTCTCCTCAGATTTTGTTGGTTCAGTGTTTGGATATTTTGCAAAGCAACTTAACAGTTTGGATTATAATTCACATCAGATGATTTATAGTCTTTAAAATGACAAACCTGTCTAAGATTTTCAGTTATGTGCAGATAATTTAGTAAGTTGAAGTAAAAAAAATACTAAAAAGATTCCTCAACTGTTCCTCTGCCTATCTGTGCTTCTCCTTTCTATTCTTCCTCGTGTTCTTTTTTGGTTCGTCTTTCTTGTATTTTTCTTTTCGTCTTTTTGTCCTTTTATTTTTTCCTTCTTTCCTTTTTTTCTTTCTGTCCTTCCTTCCCAGTACTCTTTATTCTTTCTTCCATTAGGTCGAAATGTAAAACCTAACAGCTGTAGTTCATGGGTAATCTTTCCAGTACCACTCAGTCTAATTTCGTCTGTATGGGTTTTGCGTCCTGCAGCCATCCTCTACGAGCTCCTGTACGAAGGCGTCTTTAAGGTGGACCGCAACTCTTTGGGTTCCTGTCAGAGAACCAGCCGGGCGTCGGACTTACTGAGTGACGACTGCATGAACGTCTGCATGAGCAGTGACGAGTCCGACCTGGAAACTGAAGAGCCGCTTTGGTGGGAAAAATAACTTTCATTACAAGATTAAGATTTTCTGAAATGCCTTTGGGCTGAGAAATGGTTTAATAAAAGACATCGATACAGTTTTGGTTTCGTATAAATAAGACTCCTGCTCTTTGCATCTTTTTGTAATACAGGGTGGAAAATAGAACCGCCTCATCTTCCTCACGGCCCAGCAACCATAGCTACAGGGTAACATCTGATTGGTCTTCAAAGTCCCGTACCTCCCTGCTCTGCTGAGGATCAGAACGATTCTCATAATGTTTCCGTTTCAGGGCCAGGGCCGAGGCCGTGGCCGGCTGCTGCCTGAGAGGGTGAGGCGATCGCTGAACCCGACTCTGCTCCGAAATGTGGACTACGACATTTGGCACAAGACCAAAAGAGGTGAGAGAACTAAAAACACAAAGTCTTTATTTGTTCAAGTTTGCATCATTCAATCAAGTCAGTTTGTGAATCAGAACCTCAGACCATCAACATCCAATCAATTCAGACACAGTGAACTTTTAAGTTGCTACAAAAAAAACACATGACAGCCTTAAATCAGAAACAGCAGGACTTTGGCTTTGGGTTCTCTGGATACGTTTCAACGCCTATCCTGGACTCTTATCAGTTCTGTCAGCTAGAACTGATAAAGAAAAAAAAAAAACGCTAGTTGATTCTTAAAATATCGAATATTGACTAGAAATCTAATATAGTGCCTCCCTAGTGCACACACCTCCAAATTGCCCCTGAACCAGTTACTGGGAGCCCATAACTTGCAGCCGTTCACGCTGCTGATAAAACGTGATGTCATTTTGTTTGGTTTAAACTGATGCTAGAGGTGCAACCACCTTCTGTATTTATATGGAAATCCCTTATTGAGAAGAAACATTTCAGTGCAGCTGTGTTCCTGGCATAATGGAAGACTGTAAAGGCTCCTAACCTTGGCACTGAAAGGAGGTCAGTTTGTCTGAATGTAGAATGTATGCAGGTTTAACTCTAATGTGATTCAAATGTAAGCTCGCTGGTAGCCAAATCACGTTACTTCATCGCTTCGGCTCCAGGTGGCTCTTTATCAGCTCCATCGTCGGTGATGAGACGAACCGGCACAAGCAGCCGGAGCAAATAACATTACATCCCCACCTTCCTCCTCCATCTGTGCACCATCTGATCGGGCTAAGCTTTTAAAAATGCAAAAGCAACGAGTTTAACAACTGCTGCAGCTCAACATTTAGGGCTGAGATTTATTAGCAATTCAAAAGCTTTAATTAAACTCAGCTTTGTTTTGTTTTTTTTGATAATAAAAATTAACATCAGCTGCAGATTTTCCTGATGACATCCTCAGTTTAGATCTGTGGGATCCTGGATGTGGAAGTAAATTTAAAAAATGTGGGATTTTATTGTTTTCTGTCTTGTTCCTTTAGCCCAACAGAAGATAGATTACTCCATCGCTGCAGGGATGCAGTTCTCTGCAGGGGATCGCTGTCAGGTTTGTGGGATTTACCCTTTATGTTAGTTCATTTTTCTTTTTCTTTTTTTATACCTAATTTTTTGGTGCGGTTTACGAAAAAACCCATCCAGGTTCGCCAAGAGAAGGGACGCAGCTACAAGGCCACCATCAAAGACGTGCCCGCTGATAACGGCCTGGTGACTGTTTACATCGAAGAGCTCGGGGAGAAGTAGGTCACAGGGCTGCAGATAATTCAGATTACACGGCTGGTGATGTTGTTAACGGGGTGTGTTGGTGTGCAGGAAGGTCCCTCTATGGTACCTCCGACCGATTAACGAAGAAAACAGCTGGACCACCGTCACCAACCGCGACAAGAGGCTGAGCAACGGACACGGAGGTGGGACGCAGGGGAGACATGTTCATCCTCAGATAAACTCTGTTTAACCCCATGACCCAATGTGTAAAAAAAGAAAAAAAAGCTGTAAACGTTTTTATTTTGTGTTTACAGCAATATTTTTCTTTTAATCAATCTTAAAAGGGATCCTCAATTAATAAACCTACGTCGATAAACAGACATTTTTGCACACGTGAAATGGAAAAAAAAAAACAGCAAACACTCAATATGATCTTACTAATGCGGAGAGAATCAAATTAATCTGCATTTGTTCAAATGAACTAATTTAGTGATGGAATAAAAACAGTCCTCGTCGAAGCAGATGTTTGTGTGAACGCCTGCAGCATCCCACAGAGGCTGCAGCTGAGGAGCTTCCTCTCCACGACTAATGAGGCTCTCTGACTCTTTCAGAATGGGAGAGCAGGGGAAGAGGGAGAGGACGAGGGAAGACCATTGGAGCATCCTCCTCCTCTGTTTCCCCAGCAACGGGTGTCGGCTCCACTGGGCGCATGCAGAAGCAACACTCATGGCCCCCTCAGGCCACCGCAGAGGAGCAGGGAGGGGGGAAGTCAAACAGGTCAGTGGGTGTTAGGAGAATAATCACATTTACATTACATTTTAAATTAATTTCTATTCTTTTTAATAAGTTTAGATTGCTAAATAGCAGGTGATCAGTGATGAAAGTGTTTAGAAAAAGTCTTTCAAAATGTTCTTTTGACTCTTGGACTGATTTCCCATTATATTTCTGTCCTGTTTTTGAAACTGGATTTTACCTCCAAATGTTTGTTTTCTCTTAAGTAAAGTTAACAAATTTAGGATTTTGTGTAAAAATTAAAAGCAGATTATTTTTGTCATCTTTAAAAAAAATGGCTCTTTAGCTATAGCTGAAGATAATGGTTTGTAAATATAGTCATATTGATAAATGTGGGTTGTTTTTTTCCGTAAGGCTAAAAGCATTTTTTTTTTTTAGGAGATAAGTTTCGACAAATCAACATCCTATAGAAGAATTTATCTATCATCTTTTTGCTTTCTTTGGAGAGGGCACTAAAAGACCTTAAATTAAGTAGTGGTTCATAAAAGCAGTGATTCCCAACCCGGGGATTGTGTCCCCCTAGTGGTCCTTAAATGTATTGCAAGGCTTACATGAAAATATTTAATTTCTTAGGTAGTAAAATAAAATAGGCTTGGGATCTGTTCTGCTTTCTGAGGACCCAACTAAAAAAAAAAAAAAAAAAAAAAAACTTTTATAAGCCAAAAAGTATGTTTTTCTTATATGTTTTAGTGTTTTCACCTTCAGCTGTGACACACATCCAAACCAAGCAGAGGAACAGACTGGGATCTGCTGTTTTTAACACAAATGTATCGGAAATCATCAAAGCAGCTCAAGTATCTTGATGAAAGCAAAGTAAAACTAATTAAGTCTATCTGACTATAATTTTGTTCTCAATTCATCAAGTTAAATATGATTATATGGGAGTTACTTAGAGGAGCTCCAGTTTTACAAATACAGGTTTAAAATATGATTTTATTTGGCATTTATTTTGCTTTCATAATAACTTCCAGGCAACATATTTATGTTTTATATTTCAGATGGAAAGCATAAAATTATAAAAAAATAGATCCTAAAATTAAGAGTTAGTTAGTCTAATAATCCCTGATAGGGGAAATTCACCTGCCCCATAGCAAAGAGAAAAACATAAAAAAGGGTAAAAAGAACTCAAAATTAGATTTAAAAATAATAATAATCATGAAAAACTCAGTCCTTCATTAAACTGTCTAATGGCAGCCAGGACCAAAGATCTTCTGCATCTCTGTTCTGCTTCTCACAGAGATCGGTCTAAAAACGGCCTTTATTTCAGTTATTGTACGTTCCACTTTTGGACAATCATCGCTCTTTTAACTGAGAGTGGAACTTATGGAAGACAAAATTACCCAAAGGGGAACACGAGTCAAAAAAGGTTGTGAACCACTGCATTAAAGGACTAAAAGCTTGCTAAAATGTAATCTATTTTCCTAAAAGGTTAATGTCGTTTTAAGTGACTCTAAGCTGGTTTTATTTAGCTGAACTGTTGGAAGGAATAACTCTTTAGATTATTAAGCTGGCTGTAAAATAAATGGATTGATATGTCATCCATTTGAATGAAAACAAAGCCATGCAAGTAGGAGCCCCCAGCTCACTGCTTAAAGTAGTAGGGAAGTTATATTTAAATGTCAAATCATTCTGGCTTAAACATGTATATAAATGTACTCTTTATCAGATGATATTGTCCCATCTTGATTCATATGTTGCAGCTACACGGTTGAAATAAGAAATCAGAATAATTTCCTTTCCCATTGAGTTCCGTCCCAGTGTTCACGGGGATGGACGTCTGTGTCTTCAGCAGGCGTAGAGCTAACAGAACTGGCAGCGTTGCGAGGCAAGGGCTCAAACATGTACGGCTGTAAGCCTTCTACACCAAACCAAGCTTCTGCCACCCTGGCGTCCTCTTCCACAACATCTTCATTCCCGCTTTCCTCCTCTAAATAAAGAATGGATGATGGAGGAGACTCATCCACGACCTCCGACACAAAACTCCGCCGTCCATAGCGTTCCTTGACAGTGTCATTGCTTAGTGCTACTTGGTCTCAATGGAATTTCCCATTGGGAACCTACTAGCATTAAGTTGCTAACTGGTTAGCAAGATGCTTCCGACAAACCGGCCACAAACAAATTTGCTTACGAACCTTCCGCCACAACAATCCCGCCCCCTTGATAAACGCCCAATCACATTCACTTTATTCACTCGTGTAAAGTCGTGCACCACTCCGGAGAATTCGAAAATGCAACCGTTGGAACAGCCGCTTCCCTACGACTTTAAGATCAATTCATTACAAATTTACTTCCTGGGTTTTGGGATAGAAGACTTTGGCTACGTTCACACTGCAGCCTGAAGTGATCCAAATCCAATTTTTTCGCCCATATGCGACCTGGATGTGATCTTTTCATGGCTGTCTGAACAACACAGATCCAATTTTTTCCAATGTGACCCAGGCCACTTGGCTTTGTGGTCCTGAATCCAATACCAATCTGATCTTTTCAAATGCGACCTGTGTGTGAACGGCCAGGTCGGATTCATCCGACCTTAACGTCATTAATCCTCGACAAAGGTCACTATTCTGCGTCTTGCTACGCAGAAGCTGCAAGAAAAACAACAACCATGGCGGATGATGATGCGGAGAGCAGTATTTGTTTAACCATATTGAAAAGATTGTGTTTTTATGGTTGGAAAAGATCGCTAGATGCGCTCTGGCACTACCATCCATGATTACTTCCGGAAAAAAAGAGCATGCTGGCCTGTCATTGCTAACGTCATTGCTTCCACTACTGCGCATGCAGGACACTTGCATTGTATGACTTTGTTCACACAGGAGATTACAGACAAGTCGCATATATTTGGAAATATGAACGGCAACAAAAAACAAATCCGATTTTGCAAAAAAATGTCACTAAACCCAACTTTTTCAGCTACCTTTTAAAATAAGTAGCATTTACTCTCTGGGCTGTTGTAGTTTGTAGCTGTTCGTTATATATTTGAAATCTGAAAACCCAACAAATGTTAGGTTTAATTTGCATCTAAACTTTGATGTTGAGATAAAAAAAATGGATCAAATAAATACAGTCCAGAAAAGTGATTAAAAAATGTTGATTCCTCGATTTTAAAGGTAATGTTTGAGCTCCAACGGTTGGTTTCATGAAGTCTTTTCTCTGCAGGAAGTCGCTGAGTTCAACAGAGCCTTGTTTCGGTTTAACTGAGGAGGAACGTTTGGCTATGAAGAAGGAAGAGGAGAAAAACGCTGCGCTGGTGGAGATCCAGCTCAAAGATGAAGAGAGCTTCCCTGCTCTTGGGGTCAGTTTATCATATTTGCCAACAGAGATTGATTAAATTTAACATTTAAACTCAGTGTATTCTAAGTACATCCTGATGGTTAAATATTTTTACTGGGAGATGACGGTCAAACTGTGACACACTTGGTGGCTAAAAATCAGATTTTTACTCTTTTTTTTTTCTTCCATTGATTTTTTTTGTTTTTCTTTCTCAGAGTCAGTCTGAATTTGGGAGGAAGAAGTTGGGAGACAAGAGGCGAACCCAGAGAAACAAGATGGTGAGTTCATATCTGAAGCAGAGTGCTGCCAATGTGTCTTCCTGTCGATAAATTAGACCAGTACTAAAGAAAAGGATTATTTTAGGAAATAAGTTTTGTTTAGTTTATATCCTGGAAGTCTGATTCAGAGTATTGTCCTTTCCAGAGGAGTCCAGTTGATGAGGTCAGAGCGCCGTCGCCCACTGCAGGCGACAGACCTAAATCCTCCACTCCACCTCCAGCTGCACCTCCGGTCAATGTGACCTCGCACACCAACAGCGCAAAACCCGCTGCTAACTCCGACCCCACTGGGCCGAGCTCTCTAAATGTAAACATGGCCGCCGCAACAATTTCAGCTCCCGCCTCCTTCTTGCTGCCCACCAGTGTTACTGCAGAGTCCAAACCAAGCACCCAGTCCTATGCCTCCGCCGCTGCTGTCCCCGTTTCCCCTCCACCGGGCATCAAGCCCCCTGCCCCGTCCTCCGCCAGCCTCTTCTCCTTCATCACCCCCATCCTCCCTGCCGCTTCGGCCCCAGCTCCGCCTTCGTCTTCCTCTTCGGCTGCATCTCCTCCACCTCAGGCCTTAGCTGCAGCTCCAACTTTCATCGCCCCCATCGCTCCGAGTCCGACGGGTGCTCAGGGCTTCAAACGCCCCTTCTCCCCGCTGACCTCTCTGCCTCGTTCACCCAGTCCTCCCTCCTCCTCCTCCACCATCATCCCTCCTCCTGTTCTGGTCAAAGAAGCTCTACCGGCCCCGACTCGTAAGTTTAAAGTTATTTATATGAACAAGCATGAGCTTGATTCAATGTGTAATATTTCTTTATAGAAAAACATGAGTTCTTTTTCATTTAGTGTCTCCATTCAGCGCAATTTCTTCTCATAGTTATGATTTGATGGTTAATGGAAATGCAACTACCGTATGATTCAGAAAAGGTCATTTTATGTTTGTTGTTTGTTTTTTATTTGATGAAATAACATAAGTAAAGCTACTAAAGGGAACCGCCTCAGGGGGGGGCCCTTGGCAGCCATAAGAACGCGCTAAAGGCAGCGCTCTGGGGCATGCACGGCCTCAGTAAATTGTTCCCCATGATGAACAGTTTGTACTGCAACTGAAATCTCGATTACAATGTAAATTGTAGTTGACATTAATGATTGATTGATTGATCTACCTGTTACTGTAGAGGTTTGTTTGAAAAAAATTGAATATTTGATGTCCTTGTATGCAGATGATGTTTTAATATCTTACTCTGATTTTTTTTTTTTTTTTTTGTGTGTATCTTCTAGATGCTTTGCCAAAGATTGAAGGAAGCCTATCAGCATATCAGACCTCACAAAGTGAGACATCTGCCTCTCAGAATCTTCCCCAAGTTGTTCCAAACCAGGTTAAGGCTTCATTGTCCCCGCAAGAAATAACAACCCAACACTCTTTACAAGAAATCCAGACCGACTCTTTTCCACCAAACCAGATCCAGGCCCCTCAGCACCAGCTACAGGCCCACGCTGAGGAGGCCCCAGAGCCTCAAACACTCCTCCCACCTCAGTCTGAGAGCACTCCAGTTCAGCCCCCAGAGCTTCCTCAGGTCCTACAGTCTCCCAGCATTCAGAGTTCAGAAGAGCCTCTGCCTCCGAAGTCCGATTCTCCTCCCTCAGATCCCCAGCACTCCCACCCGCCTCCTCCTGTCAGCGCTCCACAGATACACCCTCACCTTCCTCACCCTCAGTCCATCCCTGGGACCGTCCCCCTGCAGCAGCTGACCCAGCTCTACCAGGACCCCCTGTACCCCGGCTTCCCTCAGGGGGAGAAAGGAGAGGCCGTCCAGGGCGTTTCCTTCTCCACTAGCAAGTCTGGAGACGACCTGCCCAAAGGTGAGCTGGAAGTGGAGTTAAAGTGGCGCTAATCTACTAAACATCTTTAGACCTGTCATCAAAATCCTCACTTTCTAATTAAACTACAGGAATCTGGGAATTTTTATTTGAAAGGAGGTTAAAAGTTCTTGAAGTTTCCTTTTGAATATTTGTTTTAGGGATCAACCGATAAAAGCCAATATTGATACTGATTATTGTTACAAAAGTTTAACCAACCCTCGTTGTTTTCTGCTCTTCCTTTCTCTTTCTCTGTGGTAATATATGGAGAAGGCAGCAATGCACACACTTCTGGAGATCTCAATGGAATGCACCAATGAAGCTGATAACATATGCACAAATCAGCAGATAGTAGTACAAGATACAAACGGCGCTAAACCGCTCTAACATGGTAGCAGTTGATCAGTAGGGCTCGCCGTGGTTCAGCCTACAGCCTCCGCTCTTCCTCCCATCTTGCTCCACTTCGACTTCCTTTGAGTTTAAGGAAAGAATGCGCGATATTGTTAAATTCAAAGGAGCAAAACACACGCTAATGAGCGCTCAATTTGACATATTAAAAAATCCCCATCAGCATCCAGCATATGTTCAGTTTCTACCGAAATATTTTCCTTTTGTTGTAGATTTTTGTAACAGAGATAATAAGATGTATGAACTATGTTTGTTCTCTACTTCCAAACTCAGCATCTCTTCATCCATGCCTGAAATAAGAAGTTTCTTTTGAAGTTGTGAGAGACGATTTTAGAAGTTTTGAATGGATTTGATTAAACTTTTTCAGTATAAAATTAAAAAAAAATTGATGGAGATGAGAAATCTGCTTCCTGGTATGATGAAGAACCAATACTTTCCATCCAATCGTTTAATTAAACACTCTTAGTTTTGGGGAATATATAAGAATTATGCTCTAATATGTAGTTACAGATCTGTTACCATATTTTAATTGGACAAACCGATCTTCTCGACATTCTTTTTCCTGTTTGGTTCGATTACAATGGTGGATCTTGAACCTGGCTGGACTGGAGCAAAAAAATTGCTCGACTCTATATTTTGACAGAGACGTACGGAGGTGTAGCGGTGGATGTGGAACAGCTATTATTGATTAACACGACAGACAAGTACTCCACATGATGTATGTTAGCGAAGCAGAGCACTGACTGAGTATGGTGGAATCTGGGGGTTACAGTCAGCCTCTGTATTCATGAAATTTCAGACCCTAGCTTCCCTACCGTGCCACATGATTTCCAGTGATTATTCTGCTCAGCAGTGTGATGAGCCTCAACATCGATTTTTGTTTCCTACATCGGGAAGCCCTGATTAGACTATCGTTTGTCGTATTCCCAAAAGCCGACTGTCAGATAAATTCACCATAGGCTGCCTTCTTCGCCTGACTCTCCGCAAACAACGAAATATCACAAACTTCCTGAATGCTACTGGTGCCTCCATGTTGATTTGCTTCTTTCCCTCTAGAGAGCAGTAGTACTGTAGATCGGCGCTAGGAGGTGAAGAACCGTGCTAGCGTGATGCGTATACGGTCGTAAGGAAACAGAGCTCGTTACTGTTCCTTACGCCATGCAACAACGTGAGCCCCCTTTACACGTCCTGTCTGAGCAAGTGTAAAAGGGGCAGCAGAGACAGCAGTTAAGGTTAAGGGGATGATAGATTTACAGTGATGTGATAATAAATTGCATCTGGGATAATATCTAAGGCTCATCTTGTTTCTGTGTGAAGATGACAAAATTAGACTGGAGCCTACATGGATCACACTGTTTGCAGATGATGTTGTGATGTATAGTCAGGTTAGGTTAGGTGAACGGCAGCATGGAGGATTTGTGTTGCATTCTAGAGAGGAATTGAGGAAGAGGCAGTTAAAGTAACTGGTTCTGTTAATGGAGTTAGCAAAAACACCGATTAACCTTTCGTTGTAGTCGTCCATTGTAGTTGTTCCTTGGTTTTTAAAAATGGCGCGCCCCAGCACCGAATAGAGAAGGACGACCACACAGACAGCCGGAAAGACATAGCAAGGACCAATCACAGCTGCTTTTTATCTGCACACTTCCTGTTGAGGTCTGCGCGGGTTTTCTACCGTCCGACGCGTAGTCAGATTTGACAGTGGCGGAGGCTATGCATCAGAAACATAAATTGGCCTTTAGTCCTTGATGTGGCTGAGCTGGGTTTGAAACCCCCCCACCCCTCTCTCATACCCTCTGTCCTGTCGGCCCACTGTATTAAAAACGAGCCACTAGTGCCCTAAAAGCCACAAAAAAAAAAAAAAAAAAAAATCCACAACTATGGGGAAATACGTTCCCAAAAAAAGTGAAATATGTTTGTAAAATCGAAGCGTGAAGATGGCTGAGCTGATTTTCATTGGTTGTTGAAGATGATGTTAAAGGTAGCTCCTAACTGGAACAACAGAAAGAAGGGAAGAATAATCTGAGATGATTCGTCTCTTTAAAAACAAATAAATAAAAACATGAACATTTAACCTTTTTGCAAATATGCGAAAAAAACAACAACTTTATATTACGTACACAGCCAGGATGAACATTCCCCCCGGGGAAGTTTTTCACATTGTGTTCACCTAGGAACCTTTGCTAAGTGCTTGTTGCCGTTACATCTGGTACCATTATAAATGTCACACAGTTGTAATATACCTCCTTTTTTGTTGAATCTATAAAACTAATCTATAAATTCAGGCTTTAAAGAGTTAATGATAAAACACATTAAGTATGTATGATAATATATCTCTCAATATTGCTTATATTCAGGTATTCTTACATTTTCTTCTTTTTTTCGTAGGCTTTGAATGTTTTTTTACTTTTAATAAGAACAAAGAATAATGTCCAGAAAAGTATCAGCAGGATTGTTTTTTTCTGAATGTTTGTTATTGTTTCTTTTGTCCGTAGATATTAACGTCCTGAGGTTTTTCTTCAACTTGGGCGTAAAGGTAATAGAATCAGTTTCCTGTTAAAGTAGATTCAGATGGTTTCAGATCATTAATGTGTTTCTCTTGCTGTTGGAATCATTTCCAGGCGTATTCTACGGCCATGTACCCCCCCTGCGTTTACCTCTTCCCCCTGCAGCAGTACTACACCATGCAACTCAAACCCCCCTCTCACGCCCCGTCCCCCACCTACGCCTGCCCTAGCCCCCCGGCCAAGCCGCAGGAGGCGTACCAACCCGGCCCCCCTTACCCCCCAGCATCAGCTTCCCCTCAGTTCAACCACCAGACCCCGCCCGCTGAGCCCCCGCGCAACACTGAACCCTCCTTCAACCCGAATCTGTACCAAGGGGTTACCCAGCCTCCTCCCCAAAGGATGCCCTGTACCTCGTTGCCCTGGCAACAGGTCCCTCCACCCAGAAACCCCAGTTGTCCTGTTGCGTATCCCTCCCCTCCTCCACCGTACTCCAACCCCTCACCCTCCTCGCAGGGGTACCACCCAGGACAGGCCCCGGTACACTCCCTCTACCCCTCAGCTGCCCCCCCGTACCCCCACTTCCCCATCAGATACCAGCCGTCGTCGGCCCCCGAGGAGCTCCAGGTGAGCCAGGGCGCAATGGAGCAGCTTCCGCCCGGCAACGCGGACCCCATTCACAGCCACGGACACGTCCGAGTCCTGGGTCCCATGGAGACCCCCCCTGCTGCTAACATGGTCAACCCTAACAACAACAGAGGCAATATGCTCCCTGCCAACTACGGTACGTCGTCTGTTTTTATTTAAAAGTTCCACATTTTAAACACAAGGGGGTGCTAACGTCCAGTTTTCTCAATGCAGCTTTTAACAGAACGTTTTCCCCATCAGCCTTGAAGAAGGAGCCGGGGGAGGTTCTGACCCGGACAGTGCTGCTGGTGGACCCCCCACTCAATAACAAGCCTATAGTATGTACAGCATCTCAGCTTGTAGCAATGCAGTGTTCTCACTGCTGTGTGTCTGACAGAGGCACATTTTCTGTTTTAATTATAGCATCGATTCCTTAGAAAGAGTTTAGAAAATATAGTTTATAGATAGTTAATTGGTTATAGATAATTAGATGCTGTCAGTTCCTCTTTTGATTTTCCCTCATAATCAATAAATCACACTATCCAGTTTGTTTTAGTAATTCAGTTAAAAAGTCATACTTACTGTTTAGCCTTATCACAAGTACTGTGATTTATTTCCTGCTAAATAGAACCTAACTTTAGTATCTAAGGGAGTCTGAAGACGAAGATTAATACAGAAATGTGAGCTTGGTGGCCAACCTTAACTGCAGCATGACGAAAGTTGGAGTTCACCACCGGACACAATTAAACGCTGGTAAAAGTACGCGTAGCTGCTACTATCACACCTGTTGTTTCAGAGTCTATCCCAGACAGAGAAACAGTTTAGAAGTGCCTGTTGTTGTGGTTTCTCAGGGTGTCTATGACTATTTTATTTTTATGTACATTTAGACTTCATTTTGTGCATTTTTAAACATTTTCTATTTTTATAATATAGACAAAATGAAAGAAATCATTAATATTTCTTATTTAAAAAACTAAGAAATGCAAATAATTTGGATGAAATGAGTGTACCTCATCTGTCTGGTCTTGTATCATTTCTTTAAAGGGGTCATAGAATGATTATATAGGGTATTTGGTCCTTATTGTCTCTGAATAGTGTAACATTGGTTGAGCTGAAAATGGTATATTTGCTGTTCTATGAGCTCTAATTCAGGCCTGGTTAAAATGAAAGGACAGGTTTCCTTCCTTTTATGGTATGCTCATGAATGTTTAGATAAGCTGTGCGCTGATTGGCTGGTTGACAACGAGTGAAGCTGCTGAGCAAAGATGCATCATAGCAACAAGCACTCACTCACTGAAACATCGACATTGTTGATATGATAGGGGGACCAGACGTCCTCTTTTTCCCGGACATGTCCTACTTTTCATACCTAGAAAAATGCCTGGAGGGAATTTCGAAATCGTCTGGGATTTTGGTCGACCACAGTGCAGCATGTAGTCGAAACACACCGGGAACTCGAACCGAGCCGCTGGCTCCGGGGCTGGTCTGGGAAGCCCGGCAGACGGGGGCAGGCTGAGGACGGGCGGCTCATGGCTCCAGTCCAGTCAGCGGCCGACACTTCATCTGAAATAGTGCGAACATCTTTATGTAGTAGGAGCAAATTCTGCTAACGTGAGATTGTCTGACTGAGATCAGAACTTGTATGAAGCTAGTAGCAAAACTTGGCTGCAGTAACCCTGTTTAAACCTGAGGAGGGCGCTAAAAACAAGGGTTTTTAAATACAAAATCATTTAAACAATTTCAACAAACGTGCAGTGAGTTGCTAGCCTCGTGAGGACATCCTGATCTCGTGAGCTTTCAAGGTTTCACTCGCTAATCAGTCTGGAGACTCTCCATTAAAGAAAATTTGGAGCCGTTCACTAAACGAACGTCCAATCAGCGTTGGCTTTGAGGTGGGTTGAGGTGTGACGCAACAAGAAGCGCGACAGTTCAGTCTAAAGAACATGGCGGCTTCAGCCGATGAAACTAGCGTTAGCGGGGCTATTGAGCAAGTTTTATCGGAATTACAGAGTATTTCTTCACTGAAAGAAGAGCAAAACACTGCTCTGGAGGCTTTTCTCAGAGGAAATGATGTTTTTGCTCTTCTCCCGACTGGTTTCGGCAAGAGTAACAAGAGTAGCCTGGCTGTTAGTACGTCATATGCTTTGTTGATCTGATTGGTTTTTTTGGCCCGTCTATCACCAACATAGGCCAATCAGCTAACCAGTATTTTCGCCCCTTCCCAAAATTTCTTCAACGGAAGGTTTCCAGATGGATATGCGGAGCAAATCCATCTGGCGGAGTCAGGTTAGTGAGTTGCCGAAACAGTGTTAAGAAACCACAGACAGCACTAAAAGACATCTGTTTACACAGTTTATCAGCAAAAAGAATAATATATATTTTTTTTTTTTGGAGGTCTGATTCATCTGATACATCAGAGATTTTGGCCTGAAGCTTTACGATCTGACTACTGTCAGATGCTTTAACTTGTTTTCAGCAGTAATGGCCGTTTCTCTCTCTCCCTCAGCTGGCTGTGGTTTCAGACCCCGACATGAGCGACGCCTCCCTGAGGTCCAGCAGTAACCCCGGCTCTCCATCAGGCTACAGAGGCCCTCGGAAACACCTCCCCAGCACCAAACCATACCCCGCTCCAAGCGCCCCTGATCACAGCCATATGGTTTACACAGCAGCGGGCCTGGGCATGGCGGAGCCGCTGTCGGTGGCGTGCAGCACTGAAGACGACTTTGATGTGGACCCGTTTGGCTACCAGGGGCAAAGGAGGGTCTACAGGGGGCGGGGAGGAAGAGGACGGAGCAGCTATGATCCTGGGAGAGGGATGCAGAGGCGGCGGCATGGCGACCAGGGGGCGGTGACTCAATATTATAGCTCCAACCTTAGGGGGAGGGGGCGGGCATACTAGCTTCAGCCAATAAGGGAGGAGGATCTTTAAAAAAAAAAAAAAGCCGCCTTCAAACACTATTTTGTTCTGCTTTGGCTCTGCATGTACAATCGGAAGTTTACATCTCTGAACGTTTGAATGTAACAAATCAAACATGGAGGTTACAGGCTGGATGGCGGATTAAATTATGGCGGGGGGGGGGAACCTTCAGTTTGGAAAACCTATGAAATCGCTCCCGTATGTTTAAGGCCTTCATGTTAACCCCGATGTTTAATATAAAGCACTGCTGCATCTCTTCACTGAGAGAAAAATCCTTTCATAACCGCCATTTCTGGCCGTCTTTTGACCGTAACGCCTCGTCGGTACAGGATGAACTTGAACTAAAGGCGGCGTAAGGTCCGCTGTGAGAACAGAAGTTCTGGATGGGTTGGCAGGGCTCAGGTTTTATTTTGTGCTGTGTGTGTGTGTGTGTTTGTACGCGTGTGGAAGTTTGCTTCTGTGCGTTTGCTGCTTGTTTCACCTTCTTCTTCCCTTTGGATCGTCTAACCTCTGAGGAATCAGTGCCTATTTGCTATAAGTTTGCTATTTTTATTTGGTGAGAAACACTGCTGTACAGAACAAAGAATGTCTGCCTTGGATTTTTCTATGTGGTTAAATAAAAGTTTGGTTCAAATCTTTAGTTTCTTTTTTTTCATGTTATTCGGGTGTTTCCTTTCTGGGTAATTGTTAAAAAGCAGCATAAAGTACATTAGGATAAAAATACATGCAGGTGAAGATTGTGTCATTCCAAAAAAAAGTTAAAAACAATCCATTTGACTTTGTTTTTAATTTTGAAGACGTTTCGCTTCCTATCCAGGAAGCTGCTTCAGTTCAAAATGTGGATAAATGTTTTTAAGGGTCCTAATCTATTTAAAATTGGATTATTTGCAGATGACGGTACTATATGGGGAAATTTTACAATATTACTAAACTATATCATTAGTTTGACTAAATTTGAAATCGAAATTAAAACAAATATCAGTCTGGGATGGTAAAATTGAAACATATTTTTAGAGAATAGTTTTTGTATTTTCTGTGTCAAACCTCATGTTGAGTCTCTTTAAACAGAAAATAATTACATATTAATCTTTACTTTTAAACCTATTTAATTTTACAGTTAGTCATAAAAAGAGCTTTATTCCTATTAGGATTGATCATTTTTATGACTGCTGATGTTTAATCAAGGTAAACCAAAACTGTCAAGCTAAATAAAACTTTTTTTTATACCATTATTGCCTGAAAATGATTACAAAACCATTTAAAATAAGACATGAACACTTTCAAGTTTTTTTTTTAAGTTTAGATTCTGATTGGTTGGTTCAGTGTTTTCATTTCTGCTCTCTGATTGGATAGCTGTCTGTCTGCTCCTCCAATCCCTGATGAGGGGCATCTGAACCCAGATTTCCTGGTATATATTTCTAATTTAATCCCATCAGTCCTCTGCTTCTAAGTAAAACTTGACACACATCTTATTTAAGATTAAAAAGAACTAAAATATTCAATTATTCAAATATTCACTATTTTCACCTTTTTCAGTTGCAGGAGTGTTTAGTCATTTTTAGTTGATATATAAAGATAGTAAAAATAAATAAGAGCACAAATGTGAAAGGATATATTGCATCATGACAGTTAATTATGGGCGATACAGGTAGAAGACGGTCTAAAAGTTCAAAATCTTTTCCCCATTTTTTATCATAAATAGAACATTAGAAATATATAGACTGGAATGGAGGTAGAAGGTATTTGATTGTGGATGGGGGAAAAAATTATTCAATGGGCTCTATGCACAATTCCACTGCTTCCTGAACTTAAAGCAGCTCTTCCTTTTTCTCTACTGTATGAACTGATTAATCCAGGTGTGTCAGACCCCAGTAACATTGGCCAGACACACCTGGATTAATCAGTCCATTCAGTAATGAAAGACAGGAAACAAAAGAGCTTATTAAAATTCAGGAAGCAGTGGAGCTGTGCATAGAGTCCATTGATTGAAGAATGGAAAACAGTAAAGGGAAGGATTGGATTAAGGAATAAAAGTGCTTGGTTGAGCAAGACACTGGAGTTGGCAAGAAATAAATGGTGGAAAGATGTGAGGAAAAGTAAGAACTAGACTAAGGTAGGAAACTGGAGGAGCAGGGGTTGAATAAAGGAAGACATACTGGATCTGAGGAGGAATAATTGGAGCTGGTAAGGAAGTCAAGCTTTACAGGAGATCCTTCCTACCTGCAGCAATCTACATCTACAACAGAAGAAAGCTAAAAATCATTTGAAGGTTCCATTTGGTTTCCCTTTGGGATTAATCAAGTATTTTTGTACTGAAGGTGAGAAGAAATTAGGAAATTCTAGAAGTAAAATGCTATATTTTAAATGCATATCAAATGCATATAAAGATTGTCATTTTGTACACAAGTGTAAACAAAAATAAATTTCTTTTAGTAAAGCTCTCTAGACTAACTTTTTTTAAAGTGCAGCCTTGATAAAGGTAAGTAGTGATAAAAACACTGATGAAAAGAAGTGTTGTTAAAATGAATGTATAGTTACAGTTCCAACATTCAGGGTTTTGTTTTTATAACCCATTTTATATAACAGGTAAACTCATTAAACCAAATAAAAGATAAACTGGGTGCCTTTCAGACTGTGTAGGTGTTAATAGATGGTTAGGTGGCATCATCAAAGTTAAGGTAATGAGTGAGGATCTACAGGTCAGCTAAGATCTGAAACAGTTTAAAATAAGAACGTTCCTAATAAGAAAAGACCAGTCAGTGTTGGATCAGGAAGCATTTATTCATTATGTTTTGTAAATGCATGAGTGATAAAATTTGCTGCTGAATGTTCCACAACCTTGCTGCCACATGAACTCCGCCCACACGGTCGGGGCCGACGCCCACTCAACGCAGAGCACTTCATGTTTATCTTACATGTCACAACATCGCTGGATACTGAACGCAGCTCGGTACAGAAAGGCTGATGCGTTTTATTTTTGTTGCTTCTTATGGATAAATCACATTTGGTGAACGCAGCCTGGCTGTAAACATGGAGGCGACGCAGTGACGGGCGTCAGCCTGCAGCCAGGAGGTCCCGGGTGGCCTGGGAGGACAGCGGCTTAGTCGTCCAAGAAGAAATAGTTTCCGCTCTTCTTCTGCTCTGTGTCCTGGAAGAGTTGAGGTAAAAGTGTATTTATACTAAACATGATGTCGTCTGCATAGAGGGAGAGGCGTCATCACCCAATGTACCTTGATGGAGTTGAGCTTGTTGATTCTTGGTCTGAAGTTATTGGGGTCTCTCCTGAAGGTGATCTCCAGCAGGGACAGGAAGCGGTTCATCCCAGCCAGCAGACCTTGAGGCCTGATAGGGAAGAACCGAGGTTTAAAATAGCAAAGAAAAGCGTCGAGCTCTAAACGTTTACGGGCGGGGCTTACGTGTTAGCAGTTGTCTTCTTGGATGGAATACCGTCGAATACGATGACCCTGTCGGCCAGGTACGTCGCCATGATGAAGTCGTGCTCCACCACAAACGCAGTCTTCTTGGCGTGAAGGATGTATCTGAGAAAAACAAATGTTAGACAACAGCTCCACCTACAGGAAGCTAAAAATATCTCTATATTAGTAAAGTTTTTTAAGCTTTGATAAATTCAACAAAAGGAAAAAGGCAGAGGGAGGATTTTCTCCAGGAAATGAGAGTGAAAGTTGACGTTTCACCTCTTGATGACCCGGGCAGCCATCAATCTCTGCTCGGAGTCCAGGTACGCAGATGGCTCGTCGATCAAATAAACGTCGGCTGGCTTCCCCAAACATAGAGTCAGAGCTACTCTCTGCAGCTCACCACCAGACAAGTTCTGCACCTGCAGGTTAAAAAAAAGAAGACAAAGGGTTAATCATGGTGTCCCCATTACGTCTCCTACAGGAGACCATTTTCATCCAAGACAAACTGCGTATCTTTAGGAGCTCAACACTACAGCAATATTTGCATAGGGTTAATTTATTATTTTTATGAGATTTTCACAGTAAAAGTATGTCTGCAAAAAACACCTAATTTTATTAATGAACTTCAGATACTAGTGTTTCAGCTGATCTATGTGGCTAAAAGCAAAGATGCTGCAGTGATCAAAGTGTCCATTACACCATAAAAAAAGTGAAAAACCCTTAAGATGTTAGCATAAACTCAGCCAGGAAAGAAAAGCACAACTATTATGGATTATTAGATTAGAGCCTTTTTAATCAACATTGTATTGATATTCTGGTCAATATGTGAATCCTTTGAAATGTATAAAAGCAATATACCTTTGAAACCTCCCAGGATTTAGTGACTCTTTTTTCAAAAGCTCATAGTAGAGGATCATTTTATCCCCTTCAATGCATTAAAAGTTAGGGCTGTCGTTCTCTTAAAAGGCTATTTCCACAACATGGTTATTAAGTTTTATTTCAGCGTTCTAATTCAGGTTGGAAAGAATTAAATTGACTGATTCTGAAAACCAAATGTGTGCAGTATTGTAAATGTCCTGTCAATTCTCTGCAACCCCCCAAAAATTTAAAAGTAAACAAAAAAGGATTACTGTTGGACAAACTAACGTTGAAAAAGCTGAACTGAGCATTTCAATAGATAAGATTAAAGCAAAGTTATTTTCGTGTAGTTTGTATCGACAGTGTCAGGATTGAACTGATTCTTACGTCCTGGTCGATGATGCTCTCTATCTGCAGCGGCTTCATGACGTCGGTGATGAACTGCGGGTGTGTGTAGGCATCTCTGATCTTCTCGTGGAGCAGAGCTCTCACACTGCCCTGAAGGCGCAAAGTTAAACATTCAACACCAACAAAAACACCTTTTCTTCATTTTCTATGCACTTTGCAGAATGCTTCACCTTAAATTTGGGGCTGATGGTCTGAGGTTTGTAGCTGACGTTCAGGATGGGAATGTCCCCTGAAAGGCACAAGCTGGGTCACACATTTGGTTCAGTAAAGTTTAGTGATGCTTAATGACAGATAATCTCACCTCCACCATCTGGTTTGAGTCCTCCAGCCAGCATCCTGATGAAGGTCGTCTTCCCCGTCCCTGAATACAACAAACATGCAGCCACTCAGCTTAAATCCTTGTTTCCCTCAAAATGTTCAAATTGCTGATCTGCTGGAACCTGGTTCGGGATTCAGAAAGAACCAGCAGCTTACCGTTCTCTCCCAGCATCACCATGATCTCAGAGTCTGTGAACTCCCCTCCTTTGATGTCCAGAGAGAACTCGCCCATCGTCTTCCCCATGTCTGGGTACTGAAATCAGCAGAAACAAACTATTAAATTGTGTTTTCCCCGAGTAAATCAAACATACTGAGAGTACATTAGATCAGTGAGGTGAAAAGAAAAGAACATCAAACCATCAATTAAGAGATAAAAAGGCAGCCAAAAAGGATTTATGGGGGCTCGTCCGGGATTAACATCAAGAGGAAATTATGCATTAACAAATGGTTTAGATTACATAAAAGTAGATGGACAGTGTGAATGTCTAAAAGGAAATGGTGAGAAATAAATCAGTATCATCTAATGTAAATACAGACCTGGTAGTGCCTGAGCCTCTTCACCTCTTCCTCATTGGCAGTTTCAGCCACTTTGAAGACCAGTGAGGTTTCTCTAAACCTGAGATTCTCTGTGGGAACGTAACCATCCAAGAAGATATTGATACCTGAAAAATTATGAGGGGATGGGAGCAGAGAAAACATAGAATGAGCTTTGATACAATAGATCTTGATATAACATCAGACTCCTCAATGAATAGTTTAAAAGTTACATTTTAAGTCTATTTAAGAAAATATATGTTCTTAAATTTGAGATCATCAAGTTTACGTCCCAAATTAAATTTTTTTGCTTAGAAAATTAAATCATTTTGCATCAAAATAGGAGATAGGAAATATAATACATATATGACTTTTCATAAAATCATCAATAAAATTGATTGATTGATTTTGTTTTTCATTTTGTCTCGCTAAAAAAAAAAAGAGAAAAAAAAACTTGATGTTTAAAGGGATGCATATTTGTACCAAGACCGTTCTAGATAGGAGGGGGTTCTAGTAGCACCTTCTCTGACGCTGAAGGGCATGGTGACCACTCCATAGGCGCTGGGGACTCCATAGAGGCAGCAGATGAAATCAGACAGGTAGTCCAACACGCTCAGGTCGTGCTCCACCACGATGATGTACCTAAAACAAACGGCAGACATGACTGACTATGCCTGACGCTGACAGACACCAATAAAACGGGGGGGGGTCCTCACCTGTCGGGGGTGATGAGCGAGCGGATGGTGATGGCGGCCTTCAGGCGCTGTTTAACATCCAGGTAACTGGACGGTTCGTCAAACATGAAGCTAGAGTAGAGAAGCAGAAATCAGGTCTGAGTTCTACTGAGCTTAACTCTGAGGTCCAGTTAAATAAAAGCAGAGTCGGACTCACATGTCGGCCCTCTGGATGCAGACCACAGCGCAGGCAAACCTCTGGAGCTCTCCTCCAGATAGATCCTCCACGTTCCTCTCCTGCAGGTGACTCAAATCTGCCAACAAATTTAACTTGTTTAGAGAGAAAAAGGAACCAGGAGCAGGACTAGGTTTTAAACCAAACGTTTCTACCTAGCTGATCACAGATGATGTCTCGTGTGTCTGTGTCGTCTTTCCTGCTCAGAATGGCCCCTACTGACCCCTGCAAGCAGAAACTAACCATTACAGCACATCAAGGAACAAAACGGACCTGAAACTTAATAAACCTCACCTACCTTTACGGTTTTTGGGATCTGGTCGACGTACTGCGGCTTGACGATGGCCCTCAGGTCGTCCTCAAGGATTTTGGTGAAGTAGTTCTGCAGCTCTGAACCTCTGAAGTAGGTCAGGATCTCCTGCCAGTCTGGAGGGTTCTGTGAATAACCAGAATGCATAAACTTACTCACTTTTTCACCCGTGCTTCAGGACGGGAACATATTACCTGCTTAAATTTCACTACTTGACATCCTGCATGTTTTATTATAGATTCTAAACTCTATTTTTGTTTGTTTTTCTAAGCTCTTAATTACCTTTCCGCCCGTATTTATCAGTTATTTCGCTTTTTTTTCTCCATAGCAGATCCTATAATAAGACTTAACATTTCCTCCTGGTTCCTCACACAACGTACAACCTTCAGATGGACTGAGGGCCTCCAAGGACCCTGGAACCAGCTGCCACTGGTTCAGATCTAGAACTGAGCCATTAAATCAGGCATTTAAGACCTTAAAATGAAGCAACAATTCTGGGTACCTTGTTTTATTGCTTTTAACTCTATTGTTTTTTAACCTGCTTCTTAATATCTTATGTCCGTTTTTAAAATGTTGTTTTTTTTCTGCAAATATTGACATCCTTTTCACCATAACTGTGGATGAGAGAAAGGTTGGAGGACTGTTTGATGGACAGCTCTGATTCCAGGTCCTAATTCCAGAAATTTTATTTCTAGATTCATACTATGGATTTAAACGATCTACTAAACATTAGTGGTTTATTAGAATCATACGATGTCTGCTTAAAAGGAAGTACTCTCAGAATTGTAATGCTACCATATCCACCAGAGGGCGCCACTGTTCATGGATGGAGTTACTAGTATTTGGCAAAGTGGACGCTTGAGCAAAAACATTAATGATCTGACTTCTGGGATATTAATCACACTGACAGTGACAAAGATGCAGAATCAACTTTAAGCTGGCTTCTTTTTTATATATATTTTATTCTATTTAGAAATCTGTTTGTATTGCAATTTTGGATTTGTCATTGCAAAGCTGAAATCGAATTGCCAGCTCGTGTAATGACCCAAAATTACCATCCACTCCATGAAAGCAAGCAGCGAGCACTCTGACAGCAAGTCGCAGCGATGCGCCCCGTCTGATTATAGGCGGTTTCTCTGTTCATTGGAAATCTGAAGTATTTCTCAGATTTTAATGATCATTTTCTTACCCAGTGACCTGCTAATAGTCTCCTGTTTTATTATATCTAATACATTTAATAATAATGTAGACGATAATATTTGTTTATTCAGGCAACATGATAAACTGGGGGGAAAAAAACGCTTTTAACTAAACTAAGAAAATGGTCTCATGGTTCGTTTATTCATAAAACTATTTCAGTCACTTCCCTCTGGCAGGAAGCGGCGGTCCATCAGGACCTAAACCTCACGCCACAGAACAATTTCATCCCATCCGCTACCAGCCTCGTCAACAAAGCCCAGAGACCCCCGTGACACTGACTCCGCCTCCTCTGTTCAGGACCTAGAAGCTACACCAACATAACATCTCCAGACTTTCTGCGTTACATTAGCACACAGCATACTCATATATAGTATATTGTACGTTTATATTGTATATAGCTCAGGGATTAAACCCTTATTTTTAACTCTCATACACTGCCAGTTATTGACGATGGTAAATCAGCTGTTGCCATAGCTCCCGTTAAACGTGTAGTGTGCGCAGCCGGACGAACAGCAGCTTGATGACCAGGGTCTAAATCATATTTAGCACCTTTTAGCTGCTGTGTAAATAAGCTTCCTGGAGCACAGCGTGCCGGAGTTCAAGAACTGCATTTTCCATTCAATTCCGTTCTCTCTATCGTCCTTCTCACCAAACACAAAGTCTAATTAATTCATTTTTTGACTTTTAACACGTCTCTCTGTTGAATAGAGCCAAAAACGGCGTAGGTGACTTTTCCTTCAGCACTGAAATACAATCTATCTGGCGACTGGAGCAAGAAATGAGAGGAGAAGGTACATGCTTTTCTAAGACCCATCCTCTTCTTCTGATTGGCCAATACTGTTAGCTTCAGAGCACTCCTTTGCTACCACTGACTGACAAACGTAAGAAGGATTTCGTCTTTTTTAAATTTATTTATCGTGAATTTATTTTCCAGTGATTTATTTTTACCCACAGGCAATCGCTACGAGCCGGAATACTTTAATCCCTGATAGCTATAGATGATGTATTCTGTATATATATCTAATGTGTCTGCACCATCAACACCAAGTCAAATTCCTACTTGGCAATAAACTTGATTCTGAAGATGGATGGACTTTGCATTAATCTGTAACTAGCATCGCTATGCATTTATATTTGCTCAGGTGTCTCTTTATTCAACATGAGACTAAAATATGAGCAGGACTTCTGTCTTAAAATTTTTGGGAGAATAAACTAAATTAAACATGGTTGAGCAGTTATGTTGCTGATGTGACACATTCTCCACAGCATCAGACTGAAGATCTGACATCTTTCCTTCAGATATGAAAACATGAAGCTCCTGCTGAACATCAGGTCAGATCCCTGCGGTGAAAACTCACATCAAACTTCCCCAGGTTGGGTTTCTGTTTTCCAGCCAGGATCTTCAGAGCCGTGGACTTCCCGATACCGTTGGTCCCCACCAGCCCCAGCACCTCTCCGGGTCTGGGGATAGGCAGCCTGCAAGAGCAACAAGCAAACCTCAAAAACACAAAAACTATTCAGAAACGAAAGAATCAGCCTCTGAACCGAGAAGGGAACAAAGTAATGATTACCATCTAATTCTGATCCCTGACTTTTTATAACAGATTTCATTTCTTTAATCTCCAAATTTACATTTAAGCTGCAGAATCACATCTACAGCAAGAAGGAAGGATAAGGTAAAGAAACAAAGGAGACACAAAACAGGAAAGAAAGCCAAACATTAAAAAAGCAGGACATGAAGAGGGAAGGACATGAGCAGAGGAGGACCAAGAAGGTAATATAGAAGGACACAGGAAAGGAAGGAGGACGAGAAACATTTAGACACTGAAAGGATGAATATAGCAATACTAATATTTTCTATACTTCTCCAACGATGGGAAAAACAAAAAGAACCCATTCGTGCCCAAAGTAGGGAGACCTAGAGCTGCATACCTGTGCAGTTTGAAGGAGTTGGCACAATATCTGTGAGTCGTTTCCTTCTCCAGGTTGCTGGGAAGGTTGACGATGGACAGCGCTCCGAACGGACATTTCTATGACGAGAAACGGTGGTGAGACAAAAGGAAAACAGAAAGCTCCTTTCATTCCTTCTATGGCCGCCGCTACCTTGATGCAGATGCCGCAGCCTATGCAGAGGGACTCTGAGATCCACACGATCTTACTCTGAGGCGTCACCTCGATGCACAGCTTGCCTGTAGAAACACAGTTGGTTAGCTTTCTATGGTCCTACCGCTGCTGTCTGATCACCCGCTGTCCCAACACTCACCCATGCGGACCACCGGGCAGCTCTTCTTGCACTCCTGGCGGCACTTTTTAGGTTTGCATTTGTCATGGTTGACGATGGCGATCCTGGTGTTCTTGTCCGCCATGATGGAGGGCTGAAAAGACGGACGTCTGCGGAGCTAAAACAGAGATGATCCAACTTTAATATCTACTCTGGCCGTAGGACAGATGTTTAAAAATTATTATTAGAGCTTTCAGCCACCCAAACGCCTCTAAGGATAAAGTGGAATATATGAGGAGCTGATTTAACAGAAGATTAAAATTCAAACACATCAGTGCAGCTTTTAATTTGGTGTGAAGCCACAAGTTAATCTCTCCAGATAAAAAACAAAAAAAACAGCACATATTGTTTAAACCAGGTTAGCAGGAGGGTCCTGTGTGAGTTTGGTTTGACTGTCAGGCTCCAATATTTCCAGCAGCAGAACCAGAACCAATCAGCAGCTAAAGCTAAATTACCCAGAGATCACAGCTGGGGTTAATCTCGCTGTTCGCCAACAAACTGAATATAATCTGGAAAATTAGGAACATTATCAGTCTGCTCAGAACAGCCGACGGCCTGGTTTGGCCCCGGAGACAAGATAACCTCAACTGGCCCCCACCCTCAGTCATCCTGTGACTAGTAGGACATTCATTCATCGTTACCCCTTAAAGACATGGCTGATGTTGCCTTTTAACTCCTTTCTCCTCCTATATTCTCGCCCCATTCTCAAGCTTCTGCCTCAGTCTGTCTTAGGGGTATAAATCACACCCATCATGGCGATTATCAATTTCATAACCCAATGATTCGATTTTTTTCAATGCTCAATAATTTTTTTTAACCTTAGAGGCTTGACAATGTTTCAAATTTGAAATAAATCAATGAAAGCTGTAATATCTTTATGCATTTTATTTGAGAAAAAACAGCAAATAACAGAAGTAGAAAAGTCGTACTCCACCTAATACTGCCTCTATATTCTCGATTCTGAAAGGCCTTGCATCAAAGAATACTGCAACGAGTGCATAAGTGCACTAGCAGATTAAGTAACAGAAATAGGCCTATACTACATTCACTATAGAATAACAATACTCAGCAAAATCATAACAAAAAATTGCACTAGCAGCAAATGGTAACAAGCATGTGTGCATTAAGTTATGTCACATCTCCATCTAAAGTTTAATAGAACATCTCTCCACGTAGAAATATAATCTTATCCCCTTCTGTCTCTCTATAGATGCTCATAGATCATTTAGGTTCTCACGCTGGTTTTACTTTTAAACCTGATCTCTAGACGCCATGTAGGCTGAACCATCCCTCTGGAAGCTGATAACCAGCAGCCAATAACCCTGCTTACAGGTGTAGCAGCGACAACTCCCTCGGTAGGAGGGTTGTTATAGTTTCCATCTGACCTGTTCCCCCCAGCAAATATCTACCACAGGTCTCTGCTGGAAACTATGAGGTGGGATTGGAGAGACGTTGATAGGAGAGCAAAGCGGAGGAAGGCTACAGCTTAAAGCCATGGCTCTGTTCTTTTAATCAAAGCGGAGGAACAGATTAAAGCTGCATAATTATTTCCCTCTCTCTGTCTGCAGCACTTTATGCTTTACTAGAGCGGCTCCATGTAGCCAAAGTCGCTTGTGTCAGCGCGGCCAAACCTTTTATGTGTTTTAGCTGGAGGTTGGGGGGTGTGATTGTGGAAGGGATGGGCTTCCTAAACAACACAGGACAAAAATGAATACAAAAGATTTATGGTAAATATAAGCATTATATTGATTCTCTAAACTATTATTTGATGGTTGTGTGGATTTTATCTTTACTCTCACCTTTTAAATAACAGATGTAGAGATAGACCGTACTTTAGTCTGGTTATATCAGCGTTAGCATGCAGATATATGCATCAGCCGATATTTGTGCACTACTGGCACAATCAGCTGCCATGCCTTGAGATCATGCAAGGCTCAGGCACTGCTGCTCCCTAAAAATATTATTGTTTGATATGTTAAAAAATGTTTCTCTTGTGTTTAAACTGAGACGTTTGTAACATCTATTATCATGGTGCCATTTTATCTTCAATAATATCCCCCTGTAGCTCATATCAGGAGATCTGTTAGGCTTTCAAAATAAATGGGTATCGCAAATAAAGAAATTCAAAAAACATAATGAAAAATCTATTACCAAAATGAGGTAATAGATTTTGATAAGTGTTAAGATTTCCATTCCTGACCAAACTGAGTCCTTATTTTCAGTTCAGTATTTTCATATTTAAGGTTTAATTAAATTTACATCCTTAAAAGAAGTCTTAATTTCTGTATCTTTGTCAGTATGGTTTATGGTACATTTCTGCAATACATATAAGACATTCTGAGAAACTGAAATATAACTCTCAGCCTCCTGACAACACAAGTGAACAAAAGCTGTAATCTATGACACTATTTAAAGAATATTAGTATAGAATATACATTATTTGGTGCAAAAAAAGAAAGGTGTGACATAAACATTATATCCTAAATAGATATAAAAAAGTAAAGTACAGATGGCAGAGACAGTGGGTGCAGACAAAGCATTGTGATGCTAGAGATGGGACTTTACATTTACACTTTGTTTACATTAAACAACTCCTTCAAAATTGTTTTTCTTACAAAATTACACTTTCAACTTCGGGGAGGGAAAATTAGAAGCTAAAAGGCGTAAATTAAAAATGAAAATGTTTAAATATTTTCATCAAAAATGTAAATATGAAGCTGAATTTGTGGATTAAAACAACAACCAAATGTGGTTCATGCATGCCATACTGGTGCATTTAAATGGGAGAGGCACCCTTCAACTATCTCCTACTGTGACATGATGGTGAAACCTTAAAAATTTGATCTCTAACTTCACAATTCAAAGCTTATAATATAAGGCCTGACCAGGGATTTTCACTGTATTATTAGAATTTGAAGGTCCTACTTTACAGGTACTGTCTGAACAACACTTTTGGTAGTAGGGATTACTACATATACCCATCTAAAACCTGCAACCATAGAAACCTAAATATTTAAAGGGTACTTTCAAGTAACACGTGTCTAATAAGTGGTGTTAACTCCAGTGGATCCATGTTATCTGCAGTGTGCGTCACAGACGTGTACGGTCAGGCCTCCAACTGTCCAGAAGCACACAGGATTTACCAAGATCCAACTCTAAACCACAGACTGGTTTTACACGTCCTGATGAAACGTGACGGGCGGTGGCGACCAGCATCAAATGTGGATTTTCTTCTTAATCCGTTCAAGACATTTAATCTATTCATAAGCCGATATCTTTTACAGACACGGATTGGTGGAAAAAACTGAGATGTGTGTTGAAATATATCCATTTGGCTGTAATTTGTGCAAAAAAATTGTAAAATAGTTGAATATCAAACGTAGTTGAGACCATTATCCTCCTGTTATGGAGAACATTGAGAATATTAGAGTCCTCTTCGCTTTAATACATTTTTCAGTGGTAACTACGCTTTCTGTTAACCAACAAGCTCTAATGTGAGTATTCAGACGAACATTCGATTAATTTAAAGCCTAAAATCGAAGTTGAACAGTTTCCTTAAATACAGACAGCAGGGGATGCTAAAGGTTAGCCGTTAGCTGTAGGCCCGCACCGTGACAGCTGCTCAAATACAGCAACAAATACAGACATTCTGTTACAACCCTGAGCACCAGGGCGGAAACTCACCCCTCTTCGGCTCCCCTAACCCGCCTCGATTTGAAATAAAGTAGAACCGACGACAAGAAACAAATATTAAGGAGTAAAACGTATTTTTTCCTCGCAACGTGTTTCAAGTGAAGCCGGCTAGAAAGATGGCGGGAGGGATGCACATTTTCATGCGACGGGATGCTGCTTTGACGTCATTAAGAGGCGACACAGAACTGGATTAAAAGAAATATACCATCTACAGAAAAAAAATTATTCTACTGGGAGGATTTATTACAAAATTTCTAGCCAAATCATCATCACATGAGCTGACACAGGGTTGGTTTAACTCTTTTTGTAAGTTTTGCTTTTTTACTTTATTCTAAACTCAAATTTTGAGCCTTTAAAGGAGTTTGAGGTGAAAAACTTTAGCTACAGTAAGCTAGCTGCGGCGTTTTTTAAAATGTTTATTTGGCAGGTTTTTTTTCCGATAAATACGTTATTACTTATGTCTCTCACATTCCTGGTGAAGCTATTTTAATCCCTAAAATCGGCTATTTAACCCGATTACATGATTTTATGGATTAAGCTCAAAATGTACAAGAGATTAATTTTTCCTTTGAGTTTTTGAACTGTGATCGCATACGTTTCTCCGTCTCCATGGTTACAGAATGGCCACCCCGAGTAAGACCCCACCCGGGGCTGACCCGAAGCAGCTTGAGCGAACCGGGACGGTCCGGGAGATCGGCTCCCAGGCGGTGTGGTCCCTGTCTTCATGCAAACCAGGTATTAAAGCTCTGCATTACACCTCTAGAAACATAACTCTGAGGAGTTTCCACTGAAAAGGATCATCCTCTGCGCAGGTTTTGGAGTGGATCAGCTGAGGGATGATAACCTGGAGACCTACTGGCAGTCAGATGGATCCCAGCCTCACCTGGTCAACATTCAGTTTAGGTATTTGCTACCAGGAAGGAAAAAAAATCAAACATTTTTTCTCTCTTTTTTGTTGCTTTTAGCCTTTATTGAAAAACAAAAAAACAAAAACAACAAATCACATTACACCTTAATGCAGCCACTTTATATAAAGTGATGCCTGGTTGTGGATTTTTTATAGATCTACCTCTTATGGCACAACCTCCCTCTCATTCATTTCAATCTAATTCAATTTATTTATATAGCTCCAATGCACAACACATCTCAAAGCACTTTACAGTTCACTAGATCATACAATCAATTTGATTCAAAGTTTTCTGTTTAAGGAAAACCAGTTGATTGCATCGACTCGTTGAGTCGAATACAATCCTTCACACTAAAGGGCAGATTATATTTCTGCAACCGCACACATCGAATGTCGCTTGGGTCTGGTTGCGATCCAGTTTTGCTGGTATGCTTCTGCACCGTCGGTCTGGAATTTCTAGGGACGCACAGCAGACTGCCGCCAAAGCGCAAGGGGGAGCCTATTCGAGAACTTCGGCAGCACCGGCAGGAGTGTTTATCTTCCAAAATAGCAACGGAGCGTCTGTAAGATATCACGGTCACAGAGATGGATTTAGAGACACAAAAAGCAGCTGTAAAAGGCGGCCCCGTCCAGGAAACACACAGCCAGGCAGATGAGAATATAATTCTTAAGAATTTATATGCTTAAAGGCTTAAGACTTTCAATTTCTGTTAGATTTCACTTTGCATTGACATCCTCACATGTCAATAAAGTCCCTATGCTAAAGTTTATAGACTTAGTTTAACATAAATTTTCCAAAAAATCCGTCTTTTCAGGAGAAGGAAAAACAAAGTGATATTTTATTATGGTAACAAGAAATATTAGTAATAAAGTTCTTAATGAGTCCAAGGTGGAATGAAAAATGATCAGCTTTAATGCAAACCAGACTCTTGCTTCGCTTGTACGGAGACAGAAGTCTGGCTCTTACCAAAGTCCTTACCCCTGTGGGCAAAGTTTTGTTGATTCGTCTTTACAGTTTAAATTCACTCAGATTAGATAGAGAAGAAGATTTATAATGAGATAGTATCTTATTATAATGAGTTACTATCTCATAATGAGTTACTGTTTCATTATTTTGAGTTACTGTCCCATTATAATAAGATAATTTATTTATTTATTTATATTTAACAGAGTGGTGGAAATGGGCTTCCATATAAAATGCACCTAACATTTCATTCCCAGAGCCTCAAGCAACGTTTTTAGGCAGTGACTTGTTTTAATGCGAGCAAAAAACAGTTTTTCCACTGGTTGTAATCTCACAGCTCTTTATTGAACAGGAAAACATTTACTTACAATCAGTTAGTCAATATTTTCACAGTAAAAGGTGGATTTTACAACAGAGACGTTTCCAGTTTTACTGGCTTGTTTTAGGAAGTAGTTTTGTTTGCTAATTGATCCTCTGCTCATCTGCAGGAGGAGGACGACGGTGAAGATGTTGTGTATTTACGCCGATTATAAATCAGACGAGAGTTACACTCCGAGTAAGATCTCCGTCAGAGTGGGCAACAATTTCCACAATCTTCAGGAGATCAGGGTAACTGATTAGTTTTGCTGTGAAGCTCAGGCTATGACAGCTGCTGGATGTTTGATTTTAAAACAGTCTGATTCTGTTTCCTCTGCAGCAGCTGGAGATGGTGGAGCCCAGCGGCTGGATTCATATCTCTCTTTTAAATCAGGTTAAAAACAGAAATCTGTATTACTAATGAATGCATCCTCAAGTTTCTGCGTTCAAGGAACTCATATGGAGTTGAAGTTTTGAAATTATTTTTTTATTCTTTACTTCCTCATTATTATTGACCAAAATGCTGAATGTTATAAATGTTAGTTTGTTAGCGATATGAAAGTAGATTAAAGTAAAAAGCGGGGTTTATAGGTATTTGAATCATTTGGTTAAAAGCTGTTACTACAACTACAGTCCATAACAAAATCTACATTGGAAAAAATCTAAATCTAGATAAGTCATTATTTTTTTAAAATAAGTGCATTTGTTCTTGAAGTGAGAAGGTGAAAGACACATTTTGCCAAAGGAACAAGAAAATTTACATTTAAAATAAGAAAACACAATTGCATTGTCTTATTTCAAGTGTATTTCATCTAAATATCTTATTTTAAGAGTAAAAATACTAATTCCATTGGCAAATCATCCCATTTACCTACTCAAATTAAGGGTAAATGCACTTAATTTGAGACATTTTTACTTATTTCTAGATCGTTTTCCCACTGTATAGTTTGTTTTTAATCCTATACATGCTTTTTTTTATTTCAACTAAGTTTGTCCTTGATTTAAAAAAAATTTTTTTTAATGCAAAAATCTTCGACAGTCTTAAATGTGGTCTATTTTTTTAGATATTTAATCTGGTAATGATCTGTTCCTGGGATGCACACAGGTGTAGTTTCAGGTTTCACCACCAGATGGCAGCATTGTTTAAACAGTAACATTACAAAAAAGTACAAATCTTTATGCAAACACGTTATTATTTAGGTTTTTTTTTTCATTGTTGCACAAATTAAAACGTTATGTATTGTTATATTTACTTAGATTTTCTTTTTTGCGTTGCATTTTCATCATGGTTAACATTTTTTCTTATTTTTAGAGAACAAATGAGCCTATCAGCACCTTCATGATCCAGATCGCTGTACTCGCCAACCACCAGAACGGCAGGGACACACACATGCGTCAAATCAAGGTTTACACCCCCGTAGAGGAGAGCTCCATCGGCAAGTTCCCACGATGCACCACAGTGGACTTCATGATGTACCGCACCATCAGGTGATCCCCAGGGGCTGACCTGGCAGGTTTGGGAATCGCAATACGAGGAGAAAGAAAATGGAGACTGAGCTGCTTGTGAGACGACTCTAATGGTCGTCATCGATCAGCTGTACACTGGTTTTCATTAGTTGGGATATTTCAAGTTGCCAATATTAAAGATAAAGGGACTCGAACTGGGTTTGGAGTAAAACCCTGGTGCCAACAGTTCTTCTGGATTGTTTTTTGACTGTGAAATAAATATTTTTAACCAATATGTGACTCTCACTTATTGTTGAAAAGGATTCCAAGATTCATAGTTTCATTTTTCAATTAGTAGAGAAAAGTCTATATTATTTTCTTTGGAAGCTAGTGAACCATTCCACATGCGCTGATCCAGTTTAAGCTGTTGTGCTTGTTTTTTTTTTTTTAAGTATTTATACCTGTTAAACCTTTAAGGTTTGTTCATGTTGAATCCACAAAACCATATTTTATAAAAAAAAAAAAAATATATATATATATATATATATATATATATATATATATACGTCAAAGATAAAAAAAAAAAAAGTTTATGATTATGAAGTGGAGGAAATATCTTCTTAATTGCTGCTGTTTCACAGGAAGGCTGGTTTCATTCTGTTTTGAGGAAGATTCTCTAATTTTATTGATGTTAATGCAAATTTATATTAGCTTTAATTAATATAGAGTATTATTATTATTATTATTTTTTTTCCATTAAAGAAAACAAGGCAAATTTATTCAGAAAAACGAAAAATTGTTGAATAAAACGTTTGTGTTGCATTAAACATTCATTCAACGACCTAAAAATATAAAACTATCTGCAAATAACCCGTCCCTCAACAAAGTGGAAGCTCCTGTCATGCATCAAAAGAACTAAGATAAGGAACACGTGTTAAAAAAATCATATATATTGTAATTTCTGGATTATTTTTTTTTAGATTATGTCTCTCACAGTGGACATGCACCTACGACGACTATTTCAGATCCCTCCATGATTTCTAAGTGGGAGAATTTGCAAAATAGCAGGGTGTTCCAATACTTATCTTCCTTACTGTGCTTTGCTTTGTGTAATGGAAAGCGTCAGCCATTCTCCACGTTTGTGTAACATGCATTTTTTGCAGTTATTTGTAGAAATGCTATAGTCCTAATTTGACTAGCATCATTCATGTGTGCATTTCTGTCATGTGATGCTAAAAAATATCACAGGTTACATCCTCAGGGCCAACACACTGGTGATCATTTTGGGGTAAATTGCTATCCGGCAGTTTTGCATGCACCAACTAAAGAACAAGAGAATTTTGTTGGGTCCAGCTGAACTCTCTTTGCCATTTCAGCTCTTAGTACCAGCAGCTGTGTTAGTTACACTTCTTCCTACCTGAAACTAGTTTGAGCCCTTTCAGCAACCACACCTTTGAATGGCCCTAATAAGAAAG